AAAAAATGTATAAAGACATAATATAATAATTACATATTGTAAATGATTATATAAAAAAAAAAATGATAAAGTGCGAGCGCTTTGGCGGCAATCCAAACGGAGTCTGTTTAATTAATATTTTTTTTAAAAAAACGCGTTACATATAATATTATTAAAGTCCGGCCGGGTGGAAGCTGTAAAAAACGCTATAACACAATATAATATTATTATCATACAAACACACACTTTGTATTGTATTATGTGTATACCGAGTGCATTAAATGTATGTTTACCGGAGATATTCTTTTGATGCGCATAAATCGTGCCGGGGAGCAAAAGAAGAGAGAGAGAGAGAGAAAATCCAAGCACAAATAAACCCAACGAGTCATGTAGGATGAAAGATTTACCGAAGTTAATTCTTCACGGAGACTTAATGTGGGTAATAATATGATATTTTTTTTCCTTCATCTCGGTGTACTCGTTATTATTGTTATTACTACTATTACTACTACTACTACTACGGATTTCGACCTTACGCCGAACACATAAATAAAAATATATTATATAATATTATTTCCTTCTATACCGATTAAGGTGTACGCGGGAGCGATCACAATGGACTAATATATATTTTATAAAAAGATAAATACAACAATAATAATATTTACCGGTGCCAGGCAATTATAGAAGTATATTAGAAATTAATTACACCTCAACGCGGTATTTTATATTATAGTGGCCACTTCCAAAGTAGGTGTAGCTGTACGATTATAATATTATGATGATGATTATAATATAATTCATTTGCACCGTTTATAGGTTAGGTTAGGTTATACAAGTCAGGTTACAAGTACAGGATAGGTGTTAAAGGATTGCGGTTACCGTTTTTGTGATTTGGTTAGGATTTGTTTTCATGGGTTTACAGGTCATCATTAAAGTTGTATTATGTTGTTGTAAGATATTATTAATACAACTAAAAACGTCGGTGGACACAACTAAGTACAACAATTTTTTAAATATAATATTCAGACAGATTTAAAATTTTTGCCTGTGCCATCAGTTACTTTTCCGCATATATTTTCTAACATTATTATTTTCCTTACCTTACCTACCCTCCGGATCTTTTACTCGGGCTATGATTGTTTTGGTGCAAAATTCTACCTATAATGAAAAATATAAAAGAACACAACATTTTGAAGACAAAGTTATCACCGATTTAAGATATTAAAAAATATCTTCTGTCAACATCATATTATCAATATATTATATTGGGGGGCTAATGTTTTGCAAAACGGATATGCACGTTTTAATTAGCGGTGTTTCTTCATCAAAAACCTAACAAGACCATTAGCGATTTTAGACACCGGCCGCAATTCCCTTTGCGATTCTTTTTTCTATGCTCGTCCCCGAGTGCTCTTTACGTGATTTTTTTCTCTTCTTTTTTCGAGTCGACCGCAGACCCTCCTCGCAGGGGCTGCTCGCAGTGTCGGTCGAGTGATCTGGACCCTCCTCTCGCGGGCGACACTCTACAATACTTATGTATAATAATATACACATTACACACTGCGTGCCCCCGAGGCGGAAAATTTGTGGTAAAAACCAACGGCGGTGATAACGAAAATGTATTATATTTATTATCATTGTGTATATAGTATATTTTATACGGTCTGGTCGACACACGGTGTAACCCGAGCACACCTGCCGCGGCGTTTTTTGGGAGGTGCTTGTACACGCGAAAACGTGACAGGGCCTAAATCCCGAGACGGCGGAATTTCTGAGATCGGCACCGCATTGACCGGCCGATTAGACACTATATAAAACGTGTATTATGTATGGAAAAAAGAAAGGGAACACGTCTTTGAAATCATCTTGTACATACGGCTCTCTGTATAAGAGCTATGTATGTATTTTCCCCCTGTACATTATTATTATTATTATTATTTATCTTTCCTTCAGAAATGTGTTCGGGGAAGGTCGGTCAGCGGCGACGATGATAATCATACCTACGGTCAGTCAGTGGACAAAATATTATACTAAACACGTCTGATACGTTTTTTATTACCGTTCGCCACCGCATTATCAGCATATTATTATTATCATTAGTATTATTTATGTGTATTCGGAATGTGCACTCGGTTCGACCGCGCTCCGCTACCAAACTCCGCTCAAAAACGGTGCAGAAAATAACACAATAGTAGTGTTCAAATAGACTTTGCCGCCTATACATATTTTTTCATAATAATCCATACATATATTTTTTCAAATTATATTAATTGAAACGACCGACGACGCGACGCGGTTCGGTGGAAATCATAATATTTTTTTTTTCTATAATATTATAATTTGTACATAGTGGGGGACAAAAAAAACACATAGTATATATTATTAAAAATTAACGCTCAGCATACGTCTGCGGGTACGGATGATTGGACATTAAAATAACGACACCGGAATGATCGATGAACTCCATATTATTAGACCAACCTGTTTGCTCGATCCCCAATATGTATATTATACATAATATATATACATACATATATATATATATGTGTGTGTGTGTGTGTGTGTGTGTGTGTGTGTGTGTGTGTTGTAAAATAATCGAATTGTCATACATACTGGACGCTGGCCAAACGTGTGTGAAGCCGCGTTTTTTATTTTCTACCCATTACCTACGCATAAAAAACCATTACACACAGACAAGCTCATTAATATTCCATATATTTTACAATGCGCCGAGATTGCCATTGCTCGGGAGTGTGTAATTATTATGTAAAAAAAAAAAAATAATAATATTATCATACCGAAAAACGTCTCCCAAAACCGACTTGTGACTTTGATAAACAAATAACGTCTCGCCGATAGCGCATTCATACCTATATAAAAAATACAAATATTTTTACCACGAGTAGCAGCCACTAGTCATTAAAAAACACACATACCTATGCGCGGTTAGGTTTACTGATTTTTTGTTTAAACACAGGGCACTAGTAGTAGTAGCACCCTTGGTGGCATTTGTTCGCATTGCCATTGCACTTGGATACATACTTAAAGAGCGCACCTTTTTAAAATATAAAACTACCTAAAATTGTGCATAGCCGCCCGACGGGATACCGAATAAAATAATATTTAATATTACATAACGTCATGAATACTAATTATTCTACAGCTGATAATGTCCAGAGGGACGAGGGGAAAGCTGACCTAACCTAACCAATTTTTTTCAAACAATGAAGTGATTTTGAACTCCAGTGTGTGTATATTTTCAGGTGACCGTTTTCGTCCGAATGAGTTTGGATTTTAAGTATAGTAAAATACACCATAAAGGGGCGCTAAACTTGAGCTATAGAACAAGAAGTAGGACACACACACAACGTATATGAATACAACTGGACACTTCTATCAAACGCGCGCAGGTCGAACAGTTGGCCTACTTGTCGCGGGGCTGTGTTACACTACACTGGACTTCTAAAAAAAAACAAATTGTGTTGTACTCTAATATGTTATTTACATACTCGTGTGTATTACTTATTATTATTACACACACATATATATTATATTCGAATTCTATTCTATTGCGGGCGGTCGTTTGTAAAGCGTGGCGGCATTGACGTCATATTAATATCCAACGGAGAAAATAATAAAATACTTGTAAACCACTCGACTGTTGTGTTTGAAGATAATTATTACAGGGCGCACATGTTATAATGCTTACAAACACACATACACACACAAGCCGAACAACAGCTCGAATCGAGTGCACATATTATATATTGTGTATTGTGTAGTGCCTCTGGGGCAGTACTTTTTTTTTTTTTACATATTATTATTATAATACACAGATAAGTAGATATTGACACCTGACCGGCGATCATAAAAATAATAATGACCCGATGTAATTTATCGTTACACGCCGGCTACTAGGTATATGTCGCGTACACACTATACATATATTATGTATACATATTATAAAATATGGAGTCTGCAGTATTGTCGCAATAGTCCTGGACCTTGGGTTCGTCTCATGACAACTGCAACAATGCTATTTTTTAATGTACATGAGATAGTATAATATGTAGAAATCTTCGCTGTATTCTAAAAGCAATATAGTCCGTCTTCTTCTTATGCCAGTGCGTTAGGCAAGACGGTCATAAAAACTAAAAAGCCAATCTAGTTAAAATAATAGACGTTTAATTTATATATAATATATACGTATATATTATCTAGATTAGCTGTAATAGATGTAATAGATATACACATCTAAATTATTTAACTAGACAATTCTTAGAAAAAAAAAAAAAAACAATCTAAATAATGTTACTGGATCACTTTTAGTGTAATTAGGAAATACACATTTTACATACTTAAATTTACATTTAATATATTTTTTTCATACTTAAAGCTTGGTGAAGTAATCCTATTAACCGCGTCACAATATCTATGTAAATGTTTAGATAATGTACAGAAATCATTTAAAAAAAAAAACAGTACTATAAATTAAAAATATTAAAACAAAATATATATTTTGTATCGTATATAAAATTCATTATAAGAGGAAATTTTCATTTTCGATGCTACTAATCTTGAAAGGAATTGTTTTATTTAGATAAGCTAAATTATTTGATTAACGTACCTACACGTTTAAGTAGGTTTTGTGATTAGATGGGACAATCAAGATGACGTCTAACATTGAAGTTATTACTCAACTACTTATAATTATTACATTAAAAAACTAAACGAACAACCGTTGCATGAACTTTAACAATACTATATTATTATTATCTTTTAAATGTATATTATATTATTTACACAGTCAGAGTTAAGAGGGCAAATCAAAAAAAAAATTATTTTTCAAAAAAAAAATGTGACTGCGATAATATCCGACGAGTAGGCGAGATTAAACTATTGTTATTTAAACTAATGTTGAGAAAAAAGACAAAAAACGATTACAACGAATGCAATACTAATACAATTACAATACAATTTCCACACAACTAATGGGATTCGTTTTTCGTTTGTTTCAGGTGTCATCGACATCATATGTGGCCAAATAGTCTGTCATCTGGGTAAGTGCAATACTTATAAGTTATATATTAATATTAATTAAAAAGTATAACCATAACGTTAAGTGTTATAGTTAAATTACCAACGATTTTTTAAGTTGTTATAAACTTATTTAACATTTTGGTAGATTTTCAGGTTAGACATGCCTATTTAACAACAGTTAAATGGTTGAAAAAGTGGCGGTTTTTTTATATCATTGCCCAAGTCTTAACAGCATAGTAATAATAATAATATCACATACAAAAACTGTACCCTGTTTAACGTGATATGAATAGTACAAAATTGATTATTTTTTACCTACTCAATTACTATTTTTTTTTTCAAACGCATAATAAGTAAACCGGTCACTTTCTTTCTCCTCAAACATTGGTAATAAGTATGATAATTTATTTGAAAACACATGTATATTATAATAGCATAAATGCAACCATTACAAAAGTAATAAAAACATGACAGTACTCTGTACTCGTTAAAAAACAATAAATTATCATTTATTTATTTCTTTTTTTTTGCAAGAGGTGCGTATCGTTAATATGTAAAATTAATTACATTGTTTTAGTATGTACTAACGAAACGCTCCGTGTAAATCATACCTAATAATTATTCTATGTTAAATATATTTTTTTTAAATACAATTTTTTATATTTTTAGTTAATACGCGCATACTCGCACGCGGCTAAAGAGTTATTTAATAATAATAATAATAGTTCTATAAAAATGACAGCCGGATATTATAAATTTAAATTCGTGTTATTATTATGATTTTTTTTTAACGTTGTGTATTCAGATAATAATAAGAAAAAACCGGATCTTTTACGTTCCATAAATGCGACATGAGCGTCTGTGGCGGTGGTGGATTCCAAAAAAAAAATGCATTTTGTAAAGGAGACATCGCCATGCAGTCTGAGATGGGCTATAAAAAAAATAGTATTAACAAATAAATATGTACATACACACGCCGGAGGACAATAAAAACCCGACGGTTTGGGGTATAGTCCAGCTGACATTTTCACCACTGTTATAATGTTATATACATTTTTAATAAAGGTATCGGTACATTGTGTCCGTGTCTGTGTATGGTCACCTTATTTTTCTTTACCCTACAGCCGTTTCGGGCTTAGGTACACCTATAGAATAGAATATTATTATGTTATTAATAATATAATATGTGTCGGTAATCAAACCGAACCTCCGGGGCCGATGTCCGCGACAAATTTAGGTAAAAAACCGGTACCGGTTCCAAACGGTAATAATTCTTAATCGAAAAAAAAACGCCTTAAAGACAAATCCGCGTTTAGACGGTTTCGGTAGATAGATATTAGAAGATAAAGTTATTTCCCGTGTGTGTGATGGACACAACACAAATCATTTCAATATTAATGAACCGGTTAGTTGATATATTATTACAAAATATGGTTTTCCCCTTTTGGTCGTTGGTTTGTGAACCACATTGGACCGGATTCTTGGTTAGTGTTTAATGGTTCTTATCTGATTATAGTCAGTACCTAAAAACCATTAATAATAAACCAACTTACCGGCTCACTGTTAACCAACTGACTGGTTGACTAATTTACCAATAACCGCAATATTGGTAACCAATATCAACCAACTCGAGTGACCCAACCAACGGGCGACATATGACAGTAAAGACATTTTAAACATATATTTTTCTACTTACCTACTTTGTTAGACAAAAAACTTATTTATTATAAAAAATTAGTAAAAAAACTAACCCAACGCAATATTACTTTAAATATTTTATAATTATTTTACAGCTAACCAACTCAATGCTGCTAGTGTTAACGATTTGATTCATTCAAGTGTATTTTATAACATACAATATTTATTAGGTATAAACGATCAGGTAACCAACTGACATTATCACTTGAAGTCGTCCGCCTTGCATTACTAGATATCCGGTGTACAAACGTTTAAATATGATTATTTTGGTATTAACAATTACATAAAAAAAAAAAAGTGAAGTCACTGGATTGGCTATTTTTTCTGGAGTGTGGTTACCTAGGTTGACTTACGGTGGCTTTACTTGGTTTACCGGCAACTGAAACAAATTCCAATGATGACTGACTGTAATAAAATATTATGCTAGTTGGCAAGACTGGGTGTCGACGCGTTAATAAGTTCAAATGAAGTTGAGTTTATTTTAACTGTTCAACTCGATTCATTATTCTTTTGTTATGAAAAATTTAATTATGAACTTAAAGTTTCTAGATTAACTCAAAAGTTAACTAATTGACTTAGTTAACTGTCGGAAACCCTCGACTTGGCAAAGGCTAATTTTTAAATATCAAAAGTAATTAAAATATAATACTAATTTTTAGGTTAGCCACGGAATGTCATGTATAAAATGTGTATATCTTTAAAGATACAATGCTACCCCAAGTCAAGGGTTCCAATATGAAAGGTAGGTAGGAAAATCGTCGTTTTGCCGGTATGGGACGTCTTAAAAAAAAAATAGAAAATTACCGGGAAGCCAAAGACGTGCTGTACATTATAATAAAATATGTATATTTTTACTGTGTCTTTTTTTCCTACAACATACTATTATTATTACTATAACGACCGCCTCGTCGGCTAGTGTTTACTAACTATAGTGGTGTGGTAAATGATCAAAGAGATGTACACACACTGCACACATACACATAGGTACGCCCCTTGTATAGTGGTAGTAAGTATAATAAAAGAAAAAGGACATATTATAACGTTTTCATCGCCATGCACGGTCCGAAACTACCCCACACACACACACATTCACACTGCAAACGTTAATGTGGAAAATATAATAATAATAAAAACATACATTATTATTGTAAAAACCAGCACCGGACGGTTAGGTCGGTCGGTCGGCCCGCAAGGGTCTTACCTGAATGAATGCGCCGGTGAGAGTGTACACCACAAGTCCTTCTTAACAATGTGTCCGAGCTAGACATACAGGCGACAACCGGCTCGCTGTAAACATCTTATTGGAGTGTCTGTCTCGATTGGATTTGGTTATTTTTGGTTTTTTTTTTTTGACAAATTCTAAAATATCGTCTTTACAGCTTTATTTTGTGCGTTTTTAACCGGGAAAAGCCGCCTAAAAAAAAATTTAAAACAAAAGAATAAAATCGCGAAAACGTTTTTTAGTAGTGTTATATTTTTTAGCTTTTATTAGGTATTTTCTCGGCCGTGATCGTCTCTGGTGTTTTTTTTATTATTATTTTGGGTCAGTACAAATTATTATTTTACTCGTTTATATTATAAAAATATAATTCTGTCATGTTGTATACACTTTATTTTTTTATTTTTCTACATCCGATTTAATTGGTTTATTACATAGGTACGAACGCCGCTTGTCGTTGTTCGTGCAACGCGTGCGCGATGTCGTCCGCAGTGTCTTTGAGACGTATTCTTTTTTCTTTTTTTTTCACTTAAAATATATAATGGTTTTATTTTTTAATGCCACCTCGAATAATAATAATTGACCTTTACTATTGAAACGTTTTTGTTCGGTACCGAATTCCCGGTGAATCATATGGGACTATTGAGTAAGCTCAACACATTTTGTATGCTGTTACTTGGAATATTATTATTCATAGCGAACCGTCCGGACAGGTTTGGAGGTCCTTTTTTCAACCAAATAAATATAAACGTTAACTTGTACTAATTTTCGGTATTGTCAATATTATTAAAAAACCATTAAATGTTGTTGTCCAAATAAATTCACCGCGTTTTACTGGAATTGCATGCAGCAAGTAGGTACAATGCGTTTCACGGTGTTATAAGACAAAGAGATATCTAATAAGGCACGGGTAAAGGGTATGGAGCATTTTTATTTCTGTCACCGGATTGTTATGGAATAAACTAAGGTGAACACAATATGAAATGTTCATCGCGTGAGTGGTCATTTTTTCGTTTGTTTTATTATTATTTCTTATAAATATACAGGTTTAAGCGTGTGTAGTAGACATTGTGGTCAGATGTCGAAATGGGAGGACGTCCAACGTTGTTACGGCCTAATCTCATTTCGTGTCGTGGCAGAATGTTTTTTTTTTTTAATTTAAATGTTAAGTATATTATATTTTTTTTGTAAACGGCGTGTAATGGTAATATTATCATGTTTGTGTGCCGTCGTGTGCTGGCACCTAATAATAATAACAATAATTTTTTATATATATTATATTTTTTAATTTTTATATATATATACATTTTCAACGGTTGCGTTATGGTCGTTTCTGTTGACAGATGCAGCCAGGAGAGCGGGGAGTTAGGTTTCCCTGCTACCGCTTTCGCTAGCACGGCGACTCCAGGCTCCATGGGCCCGTATCACCTTAAGACACCGTACGCCGTCAACAGCATCGGCCTGGCCATGGACTCTCTGCAAACGTCCATGGGCTGCTACCCAGCAGGTCAGAACTACCATCACTCTACCACACTGTCCTTATTCAATCACCGTAAGCCAAACACATACATAAGATACATACCTAATATTATAATATACTATGTACCCGACATACAGGGTGATTTATTAAAGAACATGTAAAATGTACAGGGTGGTCAAACGTTCCCCGAAAACGATTGTGATGTTTTTAGTTTATCATTTCGAATACAACGACAAATTGCTATGTTAATATATTGTTATTTTACAATATTACCATAATATTATGTTTATCAAATAATATCTATCTTTTCTGGTAAATTCCAGAGCTCCGTCGACCAAATTTTGAAACTTTAAACGCTAATAATTTTTAATAAAACAAAAAATATTTAAAACTTCAAAGAATAAAGTATGATATACCTTATGATTTCAGTTACAAAAGTTAATCTAGCCGTTAAGTTCTTGAAAATAGGCAATGTTGTAAAACAACATAAGCCAAAAAGTCTCTTCTCAAGGGAAAAACTACAAAATTGCAATTGTTTTTAATAGACAACAAGTGTCGTGGGTTATATCGACCAGCCTGTATAATATATATTTATAAATGATTAAATATAACGTCTTTAAAGAAAAAAAAAACGGTACTATATATAAACTATAAATATTTATAACGAACCTAGATAGAAATATTCTAATCGACTGGCATGGAAAACTTGATATAATATAGTGGCCTAGAAAAATATGGCTAATAATAATAATATTATTATGAATCTATCATCGGCGAAATTATGATATTAAATGGAGATTCCTAGTTTTTCGGTCGAGCGAATCTAATTAAATTTATTGCCTTATTAAATAGGTGTAATACATTATGTTTGTCAAGACTAGTCGTCAACGAATAATTATTATCGACCTAACCGTTTAACCCACAATTTTTTTCTGCTTTTCATTAACATATTATTATATTCGAATGTGTGCTCTTTGAACATTACCAATACCTGCCTAATATTATTATTTGGTAGGTACTTTTGTGGCAAAATTAATTTGCAATAACGTTACCATCGTTTTGGATCGAATAAAGGGAGTTTATTATTTTTTTTTATCGAGAAAAAGTTTCCGTTAAAGTCTCGGCAGTTCCGGGCATAGTGATTTGTATGCAAAGGAATCGGTGCGCTTGATTTGTATGCACACGGGGCGGCCGTGCTCAAGACCGTGAAATCCGTTTACCGGATCAAAAAAATTGTCAGTCGATTTGGAAGATAGTAATATTTAATAAAAAAAAACTCTATAAACAAATAAGATGCGATTCGGCGATTTGCCGCTTAACCAAATCAATTTTAATGCGGCTGTTAAACGCGCCCACGGGGGAGGGTCTGAGAGCTCTTTGACATCTTAACCGCGTCAAATCCAATAAACACACCAATTGCCCTTTTGAACCGGATAGCAAATAAATTACATTAGATTAAGAGCGCCGGGAACACCGGGAACAGAGCGGGAGCAGGGGGAGGAGGAGGAGGAGTCGGAGAAGGCGGTGGTGGTTAACGGATTTCTGCGCCGAGTTGATCAATTCATTCCGGTCGAAGGGACTCGAATTATACACACACACACACACACCCCTTCGGTGGGGTCGTTTTTTGGGGGGGGGGAGGGGCAGAGAGGACGATATATGGCGTAGAAAATTAACACACGGTCGTGTAACAAATACAAAACCGGTCAGAGAGGGATGTATTAATGCGATAACAGTATGTGTGTGTGTAATGGTAAAAAAATTACTTCCACAAAGCTCCAGAAACCCTTTTGTCGTGGCGCATTATAGTCGGACACGGCGATGACCGATAAAATAGCGTTAACACGACACAACTATTATTGGATAAATACATATGGACCTAACCGGGGGATCGATACGCGAGATGATTGCCCAACAGGCTTGAAGAGATCACAGGCGCGGAGTTATAAGAACAGGAGGAAAGAGTAATTTGGGCCTTTGGGTCTGGCATGATAACCCAATCTAACCTAACTTGACATGTTTTTGTCAATATAGTTGATAATGGGGAATCGTTGATCACTTTGCTTCCCCTCTAGCCCGCCAGCCTTGATCCTACTCACTCGATTCTACTTCATTCTAGATACTTAAAAACTAATGCCACCCCCTTGTAAGCAAGAAATCTAAGGGTCTGTTGCCCGGATAGCATCACGTGGAGGGGGCGTAAACTTAGCACAACATTACCTATCTAATCCAAATCTAACCTAGGACTAACCTTACCGAACCTAAAAGAACCAAACACTAATGTAATTATTTAATTTCCTGACGCTCTCTGTTTGGACCAAGTGTTATCTGCTTGGTTGTTGAACACTCCCTTACAAATAGCCTAATAAAATATATATTTTTCTATTTCCATTCAAAGAGATTCGGACTAACTGATTTTTGGCGAATATAAGAAAACTTCTCAACGGTCTTTTATATTTGTATAAATTTACATAATGTACAAAAAGAGTAAGTCCGAACGCGCGTTCGTTGACTTCTACTTGGGTGTACTTACATATTTTGTATGCCTTGTCGTTCGGTGTCCAGTCTTATATTATAATAATGCAGATAGGTAAATGTATTTTTTTTCTTCTTCGCGATATTGTTATAGAAGAAGAAAAAAAAACTGGTAAATGTGTAGACAAACGGGTTTATAACATCAACCGCATATGTAGGTACTAATATTATGTGGTACTGATTACACGATTCTATTTTAAAAGCGTTCGGTTTCGTTATGAATAATATGTATGTATATATTTTTAAATATTCATATTTTTTTTTCAATAATATTAGAGCGATTTCTCCATAATATTTTCTTCATAGCTCTGTAGGCATGCCGTTGTCGCACACAACGCATTCGTGCCTAATTATTTATTCAAAAACGTTTCGCTATGCGTTAAATAGCAGCTATACTGCCGCTATAACAACACCATTAATATAATATTATTATTATTATATTTTGGTTCAGTGTGGTGTTCGAATCGACTTACCTACTTTGCTGCTTTGTCCGAAATGCGTTTACTTGATTTTTTATTTTTTTTAGTCGGCAATCCGAGAAAACAGAGAAGAGAACGCACGACGTTCACAAGGACACAGTTGGACGTTTTGGAAACTTTGTTCGCCAAAACCAGATATCCGGACATATTCATGAGAGAAGAAGTAGCGCTGAAAATCAACTTGCCCGAGTCCAGAGTACAGGTGAGTGCTGCTGCTATAAGAACCGGCACTTATATTATGTAGATACAAGACAATATTAATTCAAAGTAATCAAAGTAGGCCAAAACAAAAACCAGCCGACCCGGTTGGGATGTCGGTGTTGCTCCGAACTAGAAATTATCATAAAATATAGTAAACAAAAATGCGTTTGTAGAGTACATTCTTATTATAATATATGTGGGTCGTTCGTTGTAAAAGTGGTGTAACTCCAAAAAGTTGAAGTTAATTTATCAGACATTAGTTTTGGTTTCATTTTCCAAGTTACCACACATCTGTATAACCATTTTGATTTGCAATAAACAATAAAAAAAAAGAAAACACGTTATTTTACAAAAAGCTGGTTATTTCAAAATTCCATTACAACGAACGACACACATATTGGATCTATAACGGATCAAATCTATCAAACGGTCAACAGATTGAAGGGTTGAGTGGATAAAGGTATTAACAGCTGATAATTTCAAAGCTGTTAAGGAGGCAACATTTTAGTCAAATGCTTCGAACTTTTTTTTAAATTTTTAAACTTAACACACATTTGACTGTAATAATATTTTGTAATAAATTGTGTAATACACCCAAACACTTTGGTTCGTTCAAACTATTTTTATAACTATAAAAACTATATTTAAAAAAATGCCAGTTAACATACCTTTATCGCCTCACTCACTCCTGCGGTTTGGCTATTATAATATTGTTTGCTAAGGTATTTTAAAAAATTAACCGTTTCTCGTATCGTTTGACCAGAGACATATCTAACAACTGTTGGAAATTATATTTTGTGTATAGTTAAAATATGTTCTAACGCTCTGAATTTCGCGTTACAACCCAATTGGAAATCGCACCTATTCCACACAGAAACCGTTTGAAAGGTCAAAACTCATCGAGGGTAAACGAAACGTCTACACTTATTTGTGTTCACGCTTGTTGGCAATACTCAAAAGGGACCGTTTTACTGGCGGTTCGTATCATATCAATGGGTATCTTTCAAATTTGTTTTTTTTCATACTTATTGTAAACAATTTTCAACAGTTTTTCGCCGTATAATACATATAATATGTAACGCGCTGATATTTTATTGTACGGTTTTTATTTATTATTATTTTGAAGAAGCATCAAAGTAGAGCTGTAGGTACATAATAATAATATAAATAAAGCCTTTGTCGGCCGTTACAATGGCCATCGAGAATCGATCAAAACTATATTATAGATTTCAATAACCTAACACAATAATAATATGAAAGTGTGTGTATAGTCAGCCCGTGTTGAGCCAAGTGTTTTCATACCTTCCATACGCCGTTTAAATTCGATTATATTTTTCAAGACCTCATTCTGATGGTACTCACTCGAGTGTTTTATACATAATATATCTATTGTAAAACATAACATCATACAATACTCTCGATATGTAAACACGAGGAGCAGATTGAAATGTGTGGAATTCCAACTGGAAATCGCACACAAGCTGTGTGGTTTTAAATTTGTTAAGTTGAGACATTTTCAAAATTCCCAGTTTATTTAATTTGAAATTGGTAGGTATAGTAATAAATAAATAGCTAATTTTTATTTTTCCCAACTGTCGCAATTGAACGGTATTTTTACAAACAACAAGGACTAAAACCGTTGAAATCCAAAAATCCAATTAGGATGAAAAAGCGATTATTTTTTGTTCAATACTATTTCAAATCATTTTTATTGTTTATTTGTTTACGCTTATTTAATTGAATTGATTAAAATCTGTGTTTTTTTAGTGTTTATCTATATATTCTATTTTTTGGAATTTCCTGCACCGGAAAAATGTATCTACCTATTAAAAACTATTCAACATACTTTGTTCGGACTTGAACGATTATACTTTTATCAAATATGATTCAGTTTTTGTATGCATGATGAACGTTTAAAATTATTACCATTTCTCAAAATGGACGGCGTTAGTCATTTTCGGTCATTTCTACAGGTCTTATAACAAACACTCTAGTGTTATCACAGTATAGGCCTAGACTATTATATCTGACGACAAATAATACCTCACTAATTGTAGGTATTGACTACTGACTATAAGGTAGTGCTGCTTAAGTAACGCGCGCTTAGGTGTCGGAAATATAAAATATACAATTATTTATGTATTTTACTATTAAAAATATATATGTGTAATCGCCGCCGCCTTGTTATTATTATATATATATATATATATATATATATATATATATATATATATATATATATATATTTTTTTTTTTTATTCGGTCTTCGCGGTAATCCTATATCCTGTACGACATGTCCTATGTGCCTGAATTCGGTTCTAAGTATATATAATATAACGTTACCACACCGCTTGGCTTGTGATCATGCCATTTGGAAACGCGGCGCCGTTTTGTTTGAAAAACGCATATTATTTAATGTATTATATATTATATGCCGGCCAACGTGTGCTGTAATAATAATTTTTTTCTTTCTTTCCATGTCCTCCATTAATCCGCCTATAATTTATAATTTGCCGGGAATCCGTGACGTTTTTTTCCCGTTGAACGGAAAACGTGTTAACGCCGGGGCCAAAAACACATATACACACACACAAAAGACAATATGTACAAAAGGGAAAGCCACGGCCATGGGAGGCGCACCGGGTGTACTTATATCCAAAAATGTTACTCTCCGGTTCTGCCGTGTGTGTGTTTGTATATAAAGGGGAAATATGTGTGTAAAGGGGACACACACACACACACGGTTACAACAACAGAGGAGAGCAAAAAAAACAATAATGGGCGGTGCGAATAACTTTAAGGGTTGCAACCCCGTGATAAATGACTTTATCCGCGAACCAATCCCCTGACTCATCGCGCGCGCTCTTCTCACCGTCGCCTTCGCAACCAACCATAGTAAACACACACACACACACAATCAAAACTTACACGAAACTTACCCCAAAGCCACGTGTGTGTGTGTGTACACTTTCGGGGGACAAAAGTATAAAAATACTTCCTGTCTCCCCCATCCGCCTCGAGTCAGTTCCGCCCACACCGTGTGTTTGTGTATATATTGCTAAATCGCCGTCGACCGGAAAACAGCACGGACCTGCCAACGGGTCCAACCTGTACTTAGGTACATATTATACTTCTCACAAGTCACACTGGGCTGTATAATATTGCACCGGTCGAGATAAGATATTATACCTAGGAACAGACGTGTGTGCGCCGACCGTTCGTCAAAAGTAAAAGGCATTATTCTTAACGGATACTTGTCGTGGAAAAAGTTTAATTTAATTAGAAATAATGGTTTTAAGATATTATTATAAATACATATTGTTTAGTCATTGATTGTTAGCGATTGTAAATAAACTGTCTGACTTTAAGTCGTTGTAACTACAAATGTATAAAAGGTACAAATTTCAGCTTTCAGAATTATTTTTTTTAGTTAGAAATCTCATGACGCCTTTACATTAAAAAATACACGCATGAAGCAGAAAACATAACAATACCTAACTATGTGGACTCAGATTTTGGAAATATAATTTTCTTGATATTTATAAATTGATTAAAACTCGCCTGAAGTTAGTTGAATATATATTACAAAATATTATAAAGATAAACTTACATATTTTTTAAAAATTGACTTGCTGCCAACGATTTACCGACTAGTTTTGTGTGTTGAGGGAATATCAATAATTAATAATTAATTTTTTTCTATACCATTAATGTATGAAAATTAATTTTAAACGAGTTTTTATTTACATATTCAGATCATTATTATATTTTATGGTCAAACGATATTTGCAACATTTTTTAGGTCATATTTTTATACAGTAGGTATATTTTGCGCATAAAATCCAATTTAAAATAATATCGCTTGAATCAATCAATCCGGTTACCGGTATTAATTAATGAAGTAAAAATTAATCCATTTAACGCTGTTTATCCTTCTTTTTGAATTCGCAAAACCCGCTAACCCGTTGTGTTTAATAATAACGTATTTAATGTAATAAACGCTCAAATAATGTCATAGATATTATAAAAAAAAAAAAAAAATGAAGCACTTACTTTAAATTCTTTTACTATACTTCCTTCGGTTTCCAAATTATCAATTTTCTACTGGTGATCTTAACGATAATATTTTGTTATACTTAAGACGTATTCTTATGTTTGTAGTTTACATCTTTTAATATTTACTAAATCGTGTATACTTGGCCGTTAAGTCGATCGAGGTTTGACATTAATTAGATGATTTCAGTCTAAAAACTTCTTCAAAAGGATTCAATCTAAAATCGAAGGGAAATGAAAACACGATAAGTTTGTTTCTTACAAATCAACTGGATATTATTGTTATGTTTCTATTTTTCTAGGTTTATAATATTGAATTTTTAACTTAGTTTATTTCTTCAAATTAAAACCCACTCATTCGTATAAATAACTTTTAAATCTGGATTTAAAACTCTGGATTAACTTGACGGTGGCAATACAGAAATTTAGTTTAATTCTAAGATAAAAACACTTGTAAAAACTTTGGTATGTTAAAACGTTTTAATCTAAATAAATTAAAAATATGTATAAATATATTTGTTTAAACTAGCCGTTATTTCAAGCTTTCTTCTAACTTAACCGAGTTATATCTCTATTATAGACGGTTAAACTTAATGCAGACTAACTTGACTCAATGAAGTTATTATTAATCAATGAACTTGTTAGTATCCGGGAGCTGTAGTGTTGTGAGCCAAACATTTATACATTTTTAAGCATACAATTTTTTTTCCTTAAATTGACGACCCGCATGACTTGGCAGCCGGTATGTATGTATAAAGTCGACGGTTTTGTCGGCTTCTGGCTTAAGTATGATAATAATAAGTGTACATGTAAAAGATATTATTACGGTGTTTGTACCGAGAGCGGGCGATGAAGTAATTTCATTCATAAAAAAAAAAATATGTAAAAATAAAAAAATGTAGGTATCTGGTATATATATATTCGTATGTTAATATAATATTATTATGCGCTATATCGTAACACGGTCGAGGAATCCGTGTTACGTTTTTTCTTCTTATTCATTTTTTTTGGGGTATAATATTATTATTTTTTATTCATTTTTTTTTTTTGTAACTCTTCGACGGGTCTTTGCCGGGAGAGAGGGGGAAAAATCCGGTATACACATAGCGTGTAGAGAGACACACAGAGAACAGGATGCGCATTCTAAAAATGTCGTTTTACAGCTGATTGTTGTTATAATATTATGTGTGTGTATTTCTCCCCTTTCGGCGTACCTCTGTGTGTGTGTGTAGGTATATACCTATACCACAATATAATATTATTATATAGGTGTATAATGTGTGTGTTGGAAATTTCGACTTGATCAAGCCGCGTTCGTGACCCCGAACAATACTGGCAAACCAAACTATATAGGCACAGCCATGGGCATATGCATAATAATAAAAATACGGATGACGGTGATGATGATGATAATAATAACGTTAATATTACTACTATTATTATTATTATTGTTGTAGTATAAAAAAAGAGCCCGAAAACCAGCGTGTCCGTATCGTCGTAGGGTAGTTAAGTCAAAATGGATATCATGTGCGAGATCACGTATCCACTGTATATAATACTGTGTATAGATCATATACACATGTATACTCTTCTGTACCACCTACACAGAATGCACACACACACACACATAATATGTGACAGAAGGAGGAGCAAGCAAGAGGACCGTTCTATATAATATATATTATTATAATAGTGTAATGTATAAAATGTCTATTGAATAGAACGGGATCACCACCGGAATAAAATAACCGCATTTTTTTCAACCCCCTACTCGCCCCCCCTCCATTCGAAAAAAGGGGCTTTCTTGTGGTTTTTCCGAAACGTTTTTTTTTTTTTTTTTGGCAAATCATATGCGGTAGCACGCACGTGTGTACGTTGACCGAGCTGCAGGGAAGAGCTGCTAGTTTAACACCAGTTGTTTCCAAAAGCCTGTCAAACGATACAAAACCTAGTGTGGACATTTAATACTTTGGTTTAAAATATTAGTGTTTAGAAATTCTAGTCTTAAAACAGATAATATTATGTTGAGCCGTTAAAATGTATCATAGTATAATGTTGGTCCATTGATTAAGTTAAGACATACGTTTTTGAAATATTAACGATAAATGCTATTATTTTTTTGAGTCTTACAAGTATGTCTGGCCGGATTAGGGACAAGAGAATCAAACAAACCGAGCTTTTTATTTTTAATATCGCCTCTTCGGTGTGTATATTGACAGACCGCTTAGCAGGACAATCGGAACTGGGTTAATCGATATATAGTCAAGCACGTCAAAGGTATACCCGCTGTGTTATTATAGTGGCTATGCACGTGCTGTGCAAGAGCTTCGGGGGAGGTTATTGACTTGAGTACCTATGGCTTCGGAAAACGCGAAATTGATACATATACACCGTCGTTAATCCTTACACCGTGTTATATCCACCCTCAATCGTTACTCACCACAGTCCAAAACCAAATGACAATTATTGTTACATCACTGTCCTTCGATTTTTTGTGTTTGTGGATCGACTCTAACCCAATCTAAATAATTTCAAATGTTTAAGAAACAATGGCCAGTTGAGCGAGTGATTATTGAAAAAAAAATGAGTCTCCAAAATTATTCATAGCTGATGTGCTTGACGAAATATCCACAGATCGAAAAATTTTCCCTTCCCAATGTTATTTCAGTATTAGATAGTGCGTTTTTTTTTTAAATCCGATGCATTAGTGAAACCGTTTGGATGTTTAAGTGCATTCATCAAAGTAATTCAGCGATAATTTACCAAAATATTATGTTAAAAACGGAAAACAAATTTATCAATTATAATAAACCCAATATTGTTCTGATCCAATCGCGATAAATCGGCCATCGGGTTCAAACGGTTGACTCTGGATGATAATTTTCAGATTAAATCATCCAAGTGATCACCCAGATGAAAGTTTAACAACTTGGGTCGTGTCAAACCGCTTATTATTGATATTGTTTTAATGAGATCCGTCTCTCAGTTCTAGTCTGAAAATTAGAAAAATTGTAAATTAGATCCGATCCGCGGTTTCTTATTGCTCTGTTTCCTAACGTGTTGCAGGTTTGGTTCAAGAATCGACGTGCCAAATGCCGGCAGCAGGTAAAACAGAACCAACAGCATCAGAACGGTACCGAGAAAAGTTCTTCGCGAAACTCTGGATCACATCAGCAATCAGGCGGCAACGTCTCGTCCGGTCTGAAGTCGTCCAAGTCGATCAACGGACCAACCAGCAGCGGCGGCAACAACGTGTCATCCACCGTCAACAAAATCTCACCGTCCAACGTTAACCAACAGCTGCCCAACAGCGTGATCAACGGTGGAAACTCCGGTGGCACTGCCGGAGACGTGGCCATCACCAGTTCGACCGCCAACTCACCGGTGACCGGCACGTCTTTGACCACTACTCCGCTGCACCGGCAATCGCCCGGATGCACTTACATCAAACCCATTTTGAGCGGCACTCCGCCCATATCGTCCGTGTACTCTGGCACTGGTAAGTGGAAAAATATGATTATAACATTGTCACGGATTTGCCTGGCTCTTGAAGTCTGTTGAAAATTTGTGTCACGTTTCTGTGACCCAGAGAGCAGGAGCAGGAAGGGGGAGGCAAATAAAATAGGAAGGGAGGGATAGTGCTAGGAAGATATCAATAATTCCTGGATAATTAAAGAAGACCCATGGAAGGATTGAATAAAAATGGCGTGTTAAGGAAGTTTCTCGACTTTATCTGCTGATGCTGTGGGTACAATCTAAAGAGCCTTAGTAAAAGAAGGGAGTGTGGGATTTAGGTTTGTGACATTCGTTTACTGACTGTCTGTTATGCTTTTTAGGAGGAGGAAACACTCCAGGATCGATATGGAGCCCGGCTCTGACCGAACCGTGCCTGGACTTGCACCACAGGTCACCGGTGGGTTCTGCAAGCGGTTACTCGACCAACGGCAGCGGAGGCAGCATAAACAGTAACGGCAGCAACTGTTACTCGTCCGGCACGCCAGCGTCGCATCACCACCACCATCAGCATCATCATCCGTCTGCTCACCATCACACTCACCATCAGAACTACGGTGGATATTACTCCAACATGGACTACTTGACACCGGCTATGACTCATCAAACTCCTGTGAGTATTCCACTCTAATCACTTGACCATAATGGTCCTAATCAGAATCATCCTAATCGCTTCTTGTGACCATTCACTAAACAGGTCATCCTTATGATTGCATTGGCGCATCTTAAGTGGAGGTAAAGGAAGTTTGGACCTTGAGACTGACTCCCCTTTACTTACCCGGGAAGGTTATTAAAAACATATCCTATTAGCATACCTTACTTGATTGGACCGAAATAGGAATGTCCCGGCCATTCTGTGTATGGAAAGTTCATTCTGTGTACTTGAGTTGGGTTTGTGCTGTTAGATAAGCAGAAAGGAATGTGACATTAAGAGGCCAAGACTGGTCGGACATGAGTGGACATTTCCTTCTGTAACTGTAAGACATAGGATTAATATTATCGGATTTTCCTTCCCTCGTCAATCACACATCCAATTCAAACGTTTGTTAGCCTGCTGTAAAAGTCTGAAATGTGTGCTTATGACTAACATTTTTTGGGGTTTTTTTTGTCCACAGGAAAACGGATCGGAACCGACGTGGGTGAAAAGAGAAGATCCGTCGTGGTTCTACAACTCTGGCGGTTGGGAAAGGAAGTAAACCACCTAACACGGACGTGGTCCCCTGCGAATGGTGGACTGGTACAAAATGGTATTTCGCATCGAAGCTAAAATTGATTGTAAATTGTAAACGATAATGTTGAAAATTAAACCATAAGACCGCCGCAATAATGATATTATTGTTGCTTAGATATTATTATTATGTAAATCTCTAGTGATCTCGATATCAGCTAATTTTCAATCACCATTGAACATCTAGTACCTACAACTAGTACACGATTGTACGATGAATCCGTTTGAGTAACTTTCGAGGGATAATTTAAACTAAAAAAAAAGAACATATTTATGTATTAACAATATTAAAATTTAAAAAAGAAAAATGTAAAAAATGTTTATTGAATATTATGTATATTTATTATATTATTATTAAGCATACACCCGTTTGTTGTGTTTACCTTGATTTATATTTAATAACGATTGGATTTTTTGAATTATACTCGAAACGTAATAACGTGTACATACTTACCTTTAAAAAAAAAAATACTTCATATTACTAATTATTATTTGTATAAAACCGTTTTTTTGGTACTCGCTAGCTGTACCGGATTATATGTTTTCCATAAACGAAAAAACCAAAACCAAAACCCTACAAATGTACAGTAGTAATATATATAAAAAAATATTGTAGTGTATTATTTGAAAAATATAATATTCGACTTACAACAAAACGTGCCGACAACATGTTTGTCTACTTCTAGTGTTTGTCGGGCGTCGTCGAATATTATGATGTGTATAATGATTTGCATAGTTTGTCCCGTGATTTATTTATTCTTTTGTGTACATAAAAATATATATTATTATCTAATTTATTTCCATACTGAATACCTACTTAATATGATTATTATACCTAATAGTAATTTATTATTAAAGGAGCGAAAAAAAAACGTCGTTTGTTAATTGAAATTTGTATGTACCTATTTTTAATCTAAAAAACAAAAAAGTTAAAAAAAAAAAAAATACTAGTAATTATTAGATTAACTATAAAACTATATGTATTATTATTATTATTATTATTATTATCATTGTAAGAATACTATACAACTAATAACGAGAACGCGTTTATAGCCATTAAGTGTATATTCGATTTATAGTTAATTTCTAAGTTATCATCTTAAACGTTTTGCTCTAGAGTCAGTCTTTTCCCGAGACGTGTATTGTGTTCCAAACCTTGTTTTCCAATTAGTTTTATTATATTATATTATATATAAATATATAAATATAAATATATATACATATTGTACATGATTAAAAAACCGTCTTTGTGATTATTTTATTTTTTAGATTTATTGTCGCGAAAAAAACGTGACTAGAAACTTGAAATTTCTAGAAATTGTTTTTACCAAATAGAATGACAATTCGATTGAGCCCAAACTGGTAACACCGAAAATATATACTAAACATGGCCAAGTTTTACCAGTTATAATCGTTTAACCGAATCAAAGAGCAGGTAGCATAACGATTCAAGTATAATATTATTATGTTGCACACCGAGCGTTAAATATGGTACTGAATGGTTAAGTGGTACAAAATAGAGTGAATTAATATATTTTTTTATACAATTTAAGCGTATATTTTTTCTATAATTGTATTTTTTTACAGTTCGCGTTTCAATAGATTTTAACCATTTTTATGTCACTCTGTCCAAAAAAATAAACAAATCCTACAACAAAGAAAACTTTGTTTTTCTCCTAAGAAATTAATCAGTTTTTAATTAACATGTTTTGTACATATACACAAGGTAACAATTTACCTTGTGTATATTGTTTTTATAAATTCCTCTAAACGAGCAATACCTATGAATATAAAAGACCCTGCAAACGCTTTTTTATATAAAACTATCTGTCATTATTACTAACGTTTGAGGTAGATATATGTTCAGTAGACATATAAAAATCGGATAAAATTACAAATCTTTGATTTTATTTGGCTACAAACTACGACGTCGTTTGTTAAAGGTCATGAACAATACAAATGATTAGAAATTCGTCACGACTGATAGATAAAACAGGCAATCGATTTCTATTAGTTAATTAATCAGCTTTTAACCATAACTATCTGTGTTTCCGGAATGTTATTGGCCTTTGTATTGTAGTTGTTATTTTCAACAAATAGTCTAATAATCGCGATAGAGTCTACTCGAATAGTAATCATTGTCTTTTTCTATAATAATATTCTAACTTGTTGACCGGTTTGGTTCTTTGTATCAAATCGACCTTCGTTAATCGTTCATCGATGGAGACAACGACTGCCGTCGGCAACAAACAATGTTATATTATCGCATTGTGTGTTGTTCGTAGTTTAAAAAAAAAAAAAATTACAACATTAATAAGTCCACCACATTAGGTAGGTGTGTATTATAATGGTTTTTTTTTTTCAATCATACGAGTATTTTTGTACTACTTTTTCGTCGTCCTCTTCGAGTCCGCTGGTCGGCAACAGCGTTATTTTGAACTCTTCGGCTCTTTGTTTGCCTTCTTCGAGCACGGCCAATTCTTCGGCCCGAGTCGGGTCCTTCGTTTCCAGCATATTTTTGCTGGGGTACACCTTTTGGTATTCGGTGTGCATAAACGGCGTTAACGATTTGACGTCCCACTTTTGTCCCCAGCCTCGGTAGGTGTAATCCATGACGCTACAAGAAACAACAGTTCAGCAATCGTACCCAAAAAGGCAAGCTAGCTTGATCAAGTTAGCTCCAGACTTGTTATAAAAAAAAAAATGTATAAAGATATCTTAATATGCATGCATAGAACACAAAAAGTACTTGCTGCAAGCTAAACGACTGTTAGTTTTTATGAGTTTTTTACTCCTAAGAGCGATGACACGTTAATAGGCTCATATCTGTATGGTTTCATTCTCAGTCACTCACGATCGTTGACCTATTGCAATCTCAATTCACCACAAAGGCGTCTGATAACTACAGATTTATTAGCAAAGGAGCCAGTCGAGAGAAGCTACGGCTTTCAAACCTCGACACGGCCTAAGCTTGGATTTTGAACTTTGTGATATCCTATACTTAGTCTGACAAATGTGTTAACAAACTTGGAACCCGTCACGGCCACCGCACCCGGCCATACGTTCGACTTGACCGCCAAGTAAGCAGCACTGTGATCGAACTTGTTTGTGATCTCGACATTCCAAGGCTGCGATTCGCCCACGAAATCGTCTTCCGAAAGGCTAACGAACACGTCCCGGCCCACTCGAGTGGAGCTTTCATCTTCGGTGCTAACTGACAACGATTGGGACGATTGGTCTTCGTCGTCATCGAAAAATTCTTCGCCGTCAAAGTTCTATTAAAACAACACCGTGACTTAAGAATTGACCCTGTGTAATAGCATTGGGAGTAGATTTCCAGCACAGAGGGGTTGAAATTCCCTGTTGTCTACAACATTGTGATGGTCGGATGACCCTGAACAAGCGTGTTGTGTGGCAAAATGATTTATTCGTTCAAATTCAAAGTGAACATTTTACAAAACTGTGAGTGGTGGGATACTGAATAAGACAGACATTAGAAAATAAGTTGTAGATAGATCACAGCGGAGGGATTAGACCGAAACAAAAAAGCTGACAGTATGTTTGGTTGTGCAGCAAAAGAAACGTTCATGTTGAATAAATGTCCTACAAATTTTAAACATCAATTAAGATCCATGATGTTAAATATCAAAAGCAAACGTCTCGTCAACGACAATGTATCGGATACATCAGGATTACTTTTAAAGGTCAACACGGCCAGTTATCGTTTTTACTTTGTTCTGCTTTATTGTAGACAAAATATCCAGCCACACTTCGGTAACTCCGTCTTCGGTTATCATCGGAGTGTGGTGAACCCAATTGTCTGGATCCATGAGGTCGTAAGTGGGTAACGATTTGTACTCTTGGTTGGTCGAGTACTCGTACAAGGCTGTCGGCAATAACAAAAACAAACTGTAAAACGAGTTGGGCTGAGTCGTGTTTGCTGAGGCCGCAAACTTACTGTACGTACTTATGCAAATGTATACTTACATTTTTTAACTACGCTTTTGTGGTACAACGGGTGAGACTTGCCGAGCGAACTCTTTGTGATGTTTCTTATTTCATCGACCGGATTCAAGTAGCCGACAGGCGATATTTGTGTGGCGGCCGTTATCCTAGCTATCTGAGCTCTAAGGTAATGTTTTTCCAATCCGTCAAACATGGGGTAACAGTCCATCTACGTCCGATGCACATTATGATAAGCATAAATATCTAGAAACTATATTTAACGCGCCTCTATCGTATGTCTGGTCAAATCTTTTAAGTAATTTACATCAATCTCGATATATTGAAAACTACTTCAATAACCAATCAATTCTGCAAAACTGTACCTGCACTTTTTGCCTACTCTATGTGTCTAAAGATTTCTATGAAACGCGCATTGTAAACGATTCAACTCAAAGCGGTTTCCCGTCAAATTGGCATTGTCCAATAACTTATGATACCATATATTATGTGTAACTACCGTCGTTGGATTACCGGTGAGTCCAAATCGCCGACCAAGTACCGTTTGATTTTGCGCGACTGAACCACGTGATGAGGTTTGAGAAGAGGCAGTTCGATCCACTCTGCACTGGGTTGATGAGTTACGAAATATGTCTAGATCAAAACAGAAAATCGTGTAAGCTATTATATATTTTGTTGCACCTAATGGTCATTGGGAATGTGGACTTAAATAACAGCTGACCGCCTTGGAAAGAGAATAAAAAGTCACGTCCAAAGGCAAGTCTCGACCAACCTTTCTGTTGGTGCCGAATCCAAGCATTTCGGGCTGCAGAAGTTCAGCCGTTTCGTTTTGTAATTGTTTCTGACACTGTGTCATCATCTCATCGCCGGGCGTAAATTCAAAATTATCTTCCGCCATTTCCGCATAATAGTTTCTTTCTTCTTCCGGATCGTGTTCGCTGGGTGCCATTAAAGTGAACCTGTCGTGTTCGTCCATCAAGGCCTCTCCGTACGCCATTTCATCGTATCCGACATCGACCGGCTGTCGGACACCTTGAACTTCCAGGCTTTTCTTGTGGACAAACAAGGACAATTTTGACATTTACCAGTAACCCGGAAACATCCAGGTTCCTCCAATGCTTACCTTTACTCTCCGTTCGATTTCGTCGTCTAGCCATTCGCATTCCAGCACATAGTAATTGCGCCGCAAACCCAACATTATTCCCCAGTACCTGATGGCATACAGCTTAAGTATGGTATTTACAAATTGTCGTCGACTCACCTGATGTTTTTTAACTTGCCAGACCGCGACATCTGATCCATGGTCGCACCGATGGTCTCCGCCTCTTCGACGGTCAAACCGCATCCGGCTTTGTTGAACGCCTTGTTGGAAGTAGACAGTTCTTGGACTTCGGCAACCGGAAATCGACCATCTTCGGATTCGCCGTACATCCAATCGTCGCCTTCTTCGTAGTCGTTTTCGCCTTCGAACTCGTTCAGGCCCTGACTGTGTTTCCTGTTTTCCTTGTTCCACGACCATATGATGTTCTGAAACAAACAGTAAAAGTGGACTTTATTACTTACTACAAAAGGCAATTTTTCCACGCCGTAAATTATTTTTATTACTATTTTGGGTACATAGGTTTAGTTACTTTATAGAGTTCGGTGGAATTTTCACATGCGTTTTGGTCGATTGAGTCCAAAAAATGTGAACCGTATTCGCGTATAGGGTTGCGGAACTCCTTTTTTATCTCTTCGCTATAGTACTCGAAAAATGTTACCGGATTCGGCGGTCGCTGGAAGATCAATTTTTCCAGCAAAGCACAGACGTGCGTGTGCCTAAAAACAAGCAGATAATAATAAATTCCTTCTATAAGAATAATTCCTGCAGGGCGAACCCGGAAGGACCATAGTGGCGTTTGCCCTAGATGGGTCTCAAGATCAAATTGAACACAATATCAGTGAGGTGATGCAAAAATTCGCTCGTTATGCAATTTTGTAGCACAATTTTTTTGGCAATCTATTTTTCGAGAAAATATTTTACAGGTACTTTTTTACAGGACGCCATTTTTAATTTTTTTACTTACAAACTTATACCGTTGACGTCCTTTATTTGCATGTAAGACGACCGACTGCATGTTGCCAAGTCTTTGGACGTTGTCCTGTCAGGATCTTTGGCCGAGCTGTTCTTCGACTTGTAATACATATTGATACGGTCGTCCAGTGAACTGTTGTCGAACAGTTCTTTAATCGAAGTGCTGGACACACTCATTTCGCTGTGTTTTTTCTTCTTCAGCGCACCTCGAAAAAAACATTAAACTCTTAACAAAAATTACTCGAAAACAACACTTGCTTTATACCAATCAAAAATAATGCGTTAGTTTGGTTGTCTAGGATTTAATTTTAAAAAAATGTAAACAGCACACACGTTAGAAAAATTAAACATGTATACAATTATACACAGCCTATTTTGTTGTTCAATTATAAGTAGGATTTAAATTTTGTTATTTACCAGTTACCGTGTAAGTGTTTAGACTGTACACATAGGCTATAGACTAGAGGTCCCTTTTACACGTGTATTCGATTACACGTGAAACCCGTTTAATTATAAATACACGTGTATATACTATATACACGTGTATGTTAATTACACGGGGTTCGTGTACACGTGTATTTAAATTACACGTTTAAAATCACAGGCACTACTAGCTACCTAGACTTTGGTAAATACCGGTTTTTTGGGTAACTATATGGTTTAATCATAGAGTACTAAATCTATTCTAATTTTTATTAAAATTTAAAAAACAAAATCCAACGTCAATAATATGATATTCGTTTTTACTCTTATTGCTTATATTTTATTTAGTTATTTTAATAACGGGCTGTGTCCAAAGTACAGTAGATATATTATTTAAATAATAAATATATTATATACCTGTACTATTTTGTATATTTTAAACAGCCGACATGAAAATACCAGGCCACATTTAAACGAAAATACAAATACTATAAGGTAGGTGTTACCTATTAAAAAAAAAAAAAAACTCAAAAGATAAATAAAATTATTTTTGTATTTCGACAACTACTCATGAAGAAAACTTCAAATATATTTTTATTTGGACGAGTTTAAACAATTTTGCGGTTTTTGGATGAAAACAAAATGTAATTGAAACTTTGAACATTCACTGAGGAAATTGTTTTTGTCTAATTGATATGACAACAAAACATACCAACTATTTAACTTATTTTTTAAACTATAACACTATTGAAGGACTTCAGTAGCTAACCTAACCGTAATGGTACATAATTTTTATTGACCTGTGTAAGTGTAATAATTTGTTTATATAATTTGAAAAGATAAGTCAACTTGACCCGTTTTGCACAGACTTAGATAATATGTATACACATGACTCATAATATATTATGCATTAAGGTGATAAGTGAGTTTGAGCCAACTAGATCAGTAGCGTTTTATGTAATTTGTCACTTATGAATTGTAGACCAACCTAATTTTGCATGGTATGCTACATTTTTAATTTCAATAGATAAACTTGCATTTTTTCAGTTTAAAAAAAAATTTGAGTTTTAGTTTTTTAAAAATGTTCTCAACACGGGTGCAAATCCTTGGATATTAATTCAATAATATATTATTTCTTTGTTATTTGTTGTTGGTTTTTTTTTTGACATCACACTGACGCTGTGGTGAGCGTATCGGACCTTCGACAGCTATTAAATAGTAATAAAACATTAATTTGACTTCCCACGCCACGCCAAGTAGTCTAGACTAATATTTTGGCCCATTTTAAATTAAATTAAATATTTTGAACAGTTTTTTTTTGGTCCACCATTACAATTGTTGATTTTATTATTTAACAATAGTAGGCTGACTCAACAAACAAATCGGACCGATGCAATTATCTAAGCTTATCAACAAAATAAAACACATGAAAATTATTATAAAGGAAATGAGTAATAAGGCTCGAAGAGAACAAACGTTCATTTAAACATAATACATAGTTATTTATTTAATTTCCTATACACGTCATAAATTGGCAAGATTAAAAAATATTTTGTTAACAATATTTCAATGACATCGATGCATATATAATGTAAATATCACAAAAAATTATTATTTAACCGTACCATCAAACATTATAACTATATACTAATTAAGCATTAAATAGACATTATAAAGATACCTAATGAAAATATTATAAAATAAATGTACAAGGAAAAAAAAAATGTCATTTCGTAGAGTTAAAAACTTTTGCTTTTGGAAATTTCAATATAATTTTTTGGTTACAATTGTTTCGAAAGAAAAAAAAAAAAAATTATTATCGCTACGAACAATTTGTCTAACATGATGAAAAAAATGAAATAAATTTAGACTAAATTATTCTATTTTGCCAACTTGGTTTTCTAAGTCTTTTTCATACCTACGTTTCGTAACGGGTATAAAATACTATCAATATATTAATATTATTATAACAATATTAAATTATAAAAATTAATAACTAACCTAGTGATAACAACATTAATGATTTACGCTAAAGCCGCGTCATGTACATAACGATTGTGGCGTTTAACGATGTATGTATTGTTTGTATAAAGGAAAAAAAATAATAATTTAAGTATAATAATAACACACGATCTTAAAACTTAAATAAATGCTATCTCAAGTACTAGGTTGACTGACATACATGTAAAAAAAAAAAATTTAAAAAAAAGGATTAGTAACAAATAATATTATCCGTAAAAACAAAATTATCGAGAAAAAAATTAGTCTGTAAACATAAATCTTAATGGGAAAAAAATCTAGGTCGATCGTCAAATTCAATTGTAGATAAAAAGTCAAACATTGTTATACGTCCATAAATATTCACATATGATTATCACCAAAAGTAGCATAATATAGTATCAGTTTTTTTTTTACTAAAATTTTTAACTATTATCAATATTTAAAAAATTTAGATCCAATGAAATATGTTTTATGTACAATTTTTATTTACAAAAATGATCAACACGTTCATTTTTGTGCATTCTTGTAATAAGGTCGTTGCATAGATATTTGTGTGTATTTAAACAAGGTATATACATAAAAAAAAAAAAAAACGTTTAAACAATTTTTAAATAAGCATATTAATCGTTTTTTTTTTCAAATAGAAAATTTCTATACAATAACAATAAATAAACAAATAAATAGGTTACGTTTTTCCTATTAATTAAAATAATCATATTAACTAGAGTTAATATTGCATTAACAAGGCGACAAAAAGTAAAAGATTACTCTTGTTGAAAAAGAAAATTGGTTTGAAAAAAAAAATTATATAAATATATATTCTACAACAACATAGAATACTTATACACAATATAATATAGGTAGACAACATTGTTTTTAAAGTTACAAAGATATTTTATGTTTAACACAGTTTTTGGTAGTTAACGTGCAACTAAATTTAAATAAACAATCGAGCAAAAATAGCGTCGTGCAGTAATGTGAGGAATGATTTTTTTCGATAGAATGAATGGGACGATAAGAAATAGGTAATTTAATTAATGATTAAATTGAACGAAATTTATTCTTCGAGTACGTGAGAAACTTGAAGGGGAAAAAACAATTATAAGTTATAGTCGATTGAATCGTAAGAAGTCTTGTGAATTTGCTCTTATTGTTCTGAATCAAATATGCGTACCCTAACTCGCTGTTTGTAATGGTATTCTTTTAAGTACGATTTAAGCATTTTCGGAAGTTTTAACTGGTTGACGTCGTCGTATGTAATCTGACTACATATGCTAGCGCGACACATGTGCTGCAACGAAAACGTGAAGTTCCTGTGCAACGGTATGGTCAACATCGGCTCGAAAAACATACAACAAGTGGGATCCTTGTAGTGCTCGATCAGGCCGCAAACAGTCGAGGAAGCGAACACGCCGGGATCTCTTGAGTCGAAACTGAACAGGTGGTTCCACTGTTCGATTCTGGCGTGTAACGAGCGGCCGTACTTTCTGAAGCTTACGGAAAATAAGTACTCTTCTTGAGCTGAATCTCTGAGCAAAAACGTACCTTCGGGTCTGTTCTCCAAGAGTTTTTCTGCTTCGTACCTGTCCATTTTCCCCCAATAAAACGAACACATTGTGATTTGAAGCAAATCAGGAACTAAATAATGAATATAGTCAATGGACGTGTGTATCCTGTGACTATTGTTCATATCGGTCGGTGCGTTCAGAGCCGTCAGCGCGGCTCTTTGGAATAGTGACGTCAAATTGTCCATAGTCATTTTGGGCAAACTGAACTGCAGCAGTTGAATGTGCAATCCGGGCCGGAAGCCGGGGGGAGGTTCGATGCCTTCTTGGATTTCTTTGGCTCGTTCTTTGTACGCTCGGTCCTCGAAATCTTCGTTCATGTATTCTTCGCTATTACCGTCGCATTGCAATTCGATGGCCGAGTCTTCAAAAGAAGGTAAAGCCATTTCCAGGCTGTTGGGAGCGCTTTCCATGAACGGTTCAGCTTCGGCGGCGACTGTGGTTTCCACTTCTCTCTCTTCGACTTGGTCGTTCGGATGCGGCGGCGCCAAGGCGTCGAAAACTACGCCGGCGCCCAGATGATGGTCTTCGGTGCGCCTATAACGAGTACACACGCACGTTTCACACTCGACATTCGACTCGGGTATGCTGTCGGGGGCGTTGCAACATTTCGAGTTGCGAGATTTCAACCGAGAACAATTGAAACGAAGCACCCAGTGGTTGAGTTTTTTTGCACTCACGATACTCTTGGATGGCTGAGCCGAGCTGGGTTTGGAAATTTCGGGCGCCGTACAAGTATCGTGTGGTCTCGCGCTGTCTTCGGCCCACTGCTCGGCCACATCCCAACCGTGCCCGTCGCCGTTGCACGCGTACGTGTGGTCACCGTCATCGAACCGTCGCGCGTTCGCAGACGTAGACGGCAGCATTTCTTGTTGTGGACCACCGGCCAGACCTACGGTAGCAGCGGACGTCGACGGGACGCCAGCGCCAGGCGTCGACCCGTCGACGGGCGCGTCCGCGTTCGCCTTGGAAGGGTCGGCGGAATTTTTCCAGGAAACCGCGTCGCCCAGTGTAGTGACTTTTTGTCCCATTTTCCCTCGGACGGACCGCCGGTGCGATCAGGCCATTAACACGTGAAAACGTCGGCGGCTGCGGCGAACGCGACGCGACACGACCGGACAGGGGGAAAAACGGCGGCGGCGACGACGACGACGGCGGCCGTGGACATGTACAACGGCGGCGTTTGCGGCGAGTCACGCGATTTTCGACTGGCCGACGTTCATCGACATTGGACAATCGAAACCCGACGACGGTACACGATGGACAGACGCACCGATTTCTAAAAAAATGATTTTTATTACTGCAAAATAAAATATAACTAACTTTAAATTTGTTCAAATTTGACACAATTATCAATCACATAAACCTACACCGTTCGCTATGATAACCAACGAATGGTATAATTATTTTTAATAATATTTTACCTAAATATTATTGTGATGGTTCACCGTAATCACGATATCAATGTAGGGGAATAAAAAAAAAAAGAAAAGAAATGTTACCATGATACGGCCGCCGTAATATTGTGTCCTTGTCACTTTCACCGTTCAACTGCAGCACCAGCAGCAGCTGTTGTTCAGTGTTCTGGTTACTTGTTTTCTACCTCCACTTGGGATTGAAAAATATTCAATATAATTAGAATTTAACGTTAAAACGGCTGAAGATTATTGGATATTGATTATCAAACGACATACAAGTATTTTATAATTATTAACGAAATATTAAAGAAACCGTCCGAAAGAGAGACGGAAATATTATATTGTCATTAAGTGGGGGATAGGCAATTGTCCGACAAAACGACGAAAACGTCACTACAACGACGGCCTACGACACTAGTCCCACGAAACGCGCAGTAGCCGCTGTGACTGGAGGTAGAAAATGGCAGCTGTTTTTTTTTTGACAATCCGACAAATAGTCAATTAAAATAATAATACATAATATTAATTATTATTATTGTCGAAAAACAGAAATAGTATAAAACATAACAATTATTCAACACACAACATTTTAAAAAAAAACCGCAAACAGATTTCAAAATATATCTAATTGAAAAAAGGTGAACAAGAAATTATACCTTATCTGTTTTTTGAGAGGAATGGCAAAGGCAAAAATATAATTGCTTTTTTAGTGCACTTGCCGAAAACAATTACCGTCACAAAGATCTGATTTAGACGTTTTAAACGATATAAGGCAAAATGTATTTGGGGGAGGAGGCCTACCCATAAATTAAATATATACCTCCCCAGATATTTTTCTCTTTTTACTATGTTTTATAACTACTACTTATAGGAAACACTTGAATTGAGTATTAATACCGCATTTTTTTTTTTTTTTTGTAAAGATAGCAGCTACAAAAATAATGTCAATTTTTTACCTTCACAACCGACCCATAACACTATAAGTACTTACCACATTTAAATTTGTTTTAATAAGCACAAAGCCACTCCAGATAGCATAATCTGTTGTCTTATTTTTACATACATTTATTTACTTCATAGCTCAACACCAGAGTAATATATTATTATTAATTAATAATAATAATATAACACTACAATTTGTGATTTATTTCTTGGCCCCATACATTTTTAGAAGTTTTAGTTATTATTAACTGTCTCAAAATTGTAACAAAATTTAATTTTGCTTTGAACCTACCCCCTCTTCTCTCTTACTTGGTTTTAGCAACTCATTTTTATCATACATTTACCAACGTCGAAATGGCCTTACTATGTAAATGATTCATAGTTTTAAAATCTAAAATCTACTTATTGATATGTTTGTTAGTCATCAAAGACAATATTCGATGACCAGCATAATATTATCTGACATTGTACATGCATTCCCGTTTATCTTATATTATCAAAAAACTAGTCACTGTTCTTGTATTTACTTTTACAAATATAAAAAATAACCGATAACGCTATATTATCGTGGCTTGTAATTCCATAGTATAGGTAGATCTTAAAATAAGTATAAAATTCATTTGAATTGCTCAATTTCGTTTATTGTTTAAGACTGTCATTTTATTTTTATTTCATATTTAAACTGTTATGTTTTTTTAAAATTAATTGTTGAAACAAATTGAAAAAATATGAGTGGGAGTACGTATAATACACAACTATCCTTACTGAGCCACCCTGTACCTTGTGTTTCTTAAGCTAATGCTACTTAATATTATGTAAAAATACAAATGTGTTGTACTCTGAACCAATAATTATTCAACTCTCTCGGTACACGTATTTTTGTTGCGCCAAAGACATATTCTATAAAAAATACTTAACTAATTATCAAAATAATATTAAAAACCCTTAACCATAAGACCATACACTATCTTCAGCGCCAACGACAGACTGAGACCATTTACGGGCGAACACCTCCTTACATACATATTATACTTAAGGTATAGACATATACTGTTTAAAGTCACATCAAAATTTGCTAGATTGTTCAGTAAGTCAAACAACAATAACAATATTAATTTTTCCAAATCCATAGGTTACGCACAGGAGCAAAAAGTATATAAGGAGGTGTTCGCCGGTAATCGGTGCCAGTCTGCCGTCAGCGCTGGAGAGGTCAACATTGTTGCCGAAATACGTGTCGTATGCGTGAAGAGTACTATTTTACGGTTAAGGGTTTTTAATATTATTTTATATAGCCGTAAGTTGCTCAAGTTTGTTCATAGAATGACGTATACATATTAATATCGGTTATTTGTTCAGGTTGATACGTATACTTTTGGCGTTCAACCGAAACGTAGGAATTCAAATAAAATATGAATAATAAAATATTGTAACTTAAACCTGTTGTTCTTAGACGTCGGGTCTAACTCACTAGTCTCTTAAAGTAAATTTAATTTTTGAGTTTCATACAAAAACTCAATTGTGTTATCCAGAACCTCTTTGGTCGATACCGAGTGTTATGAGTTTGAACAATTTTTTTTTTAAATCGAGTTAAGCCTACGTTCTTCATTGTTGGACACGTAGATATTATACAGTCATTAGTGTAGTTCAGAATTGAACGGAAAACTGTACCATTTGATCCTGAACTATATTAACATGTACAATTTGCTGAGTTTCTATACGGTTTTATGTTTGCTGAGATGTGTCCGCCAAGGAATGAGCGGACCGACCGCCGAACAGGTTTTGAGGAATATCCAAAAAAGAGAAAGCCGTCTGATGGTATTGCATTTGCAAGACAATACCTGCTACACCACCGATTGGCAGTGTAGCCGAGTGCCGAGTACGGCGCCGAATACTCAATTCCGCGTAGGCCCGATCGATCCGGCCTACGATACTTGTCGCAACCACATCCAGATCGTACGACGAAATTGCGTTACGGCGTTGAAACTGTCCGACGATTACCTAGTCGACATTTCCGGACAGCCGACGTTGGACAGCGTTGTGGACGAGTGCCGGCAGCGCGGTCGGTACGCGGAGGGACTGGCGCGCGTCGCCAACGTGGTCGAGAGCGCCGTTTTCACCGTTGTGGACAAATACTGCAAGATGACCATACTGTTGTACGACCGGGAGCGGCGGAAGTACGAAACGTTTCAGCTGATGGCCAACGCGCATCGTTGGTTCGACGGTGTGATGGCCGTCGCCAACGACAAGTTTGCACAATTTGAAATCGAGATCGAGCCGATTCGCCGAGTAGTGCAGGCCGCCCGCGAATTACTCGTTCAGGACGCCGCTACCTTCAAGAGACTGACATTCTTCATTGACGTTTGCAACGAATTTGCACAGCGATTTGGTACCATGTTCGGACTTGTGAAAATAGTCGACCGCGTGACGCCTGTCCAGTTGACGGTTCCGGAAGAGATTCACGACAAACTGATTGAAGACTTGGGAGTAGCTTACCGTTACTTAACGCGGGATCCGTAGACACTTTTTGTGTGTACAAGGTGATCCATATAATTTAAAAAAAATTAAAAATACCAATAATCGAAAATACTAGTATTCTGTATTTGTCAATACCTTGTCACATTTACACCTTAGAAAAATAAGTGTAAGTAAGTGTATGTAAAGTAAGTGTATTCGACACACCCAACTAAATAAATATTCATACTGTGCACCTGTTATATTTTGCGTAATAACTATACGCCAATTTACTGTACTTGTCGTTTGAAAATAAAAATACGTTTAACAGAAATCAATATTACAATTTGTATTTTACTAAATACATAGCTTGTATGTACCGAATCATCCGTTTATCGTCAAATTTTATCTGGTTAAAAATTCGGTCAAGACGGGTCCGAAATTTCCAAGTTTTGGATTTGAGTATGGAGAAATTTGTTTAGGTTTAAACTCAATAAAATTGCCGCTCAGGTCGATTTATGTCGAATGTTGCCTATCTTTTGTCGCTTTATTTGTATATAAATAATGCAATTTCATCGATAAAAACGATATGGTTTCCGTAAGTAAAATAAAATACTGGTCAATCCAGAGGGAATCTGGATTCTGGTTTCGAACAATATTGAAGGAGGTATTGTACATTTTCAATATTAACCGTCAATTAATGAATTATTTTCAATGGTGTATGTTTGTATTGTTAATTAACCATGTTCCGATCCTCTGGGAACTACCATGGTTACCAATGGTTATGGTAGTAAAACACATTTTCGGTGTACAATAAATACATTGATAAGAGATAAGAAAGCCGCCGGTTTATTTTCTCAACTAATTAATTTACCAGTTCATTCATTGTTCGTTTTGCAATTGTATATTGTTTGAACTTTTTAATGTAGTTCGCTTAATATATAACAATGGATCACGTTATCTGTGAATTTTTAATTTTATAGAATAATCGTAAAAGTGCATTCATATTATTACCTATTTTCTTATCGAAAATACTACTTTTTTTTTCCGATTCAACAATTTTCATCAGCCATACGGAAATTTTATCTATCACTCTTTTCACACGCAGCATCGACTTCCGTTTTTGTACCTATATTTATAGCACAACTTTTGTTCGATAAATGATCGATGAACCTGACTTGACCTGATTTGATAGCTTCATTTTTTTGCATTTATCATCAGTATTAACTTGCCCGTGTAAACATGTACAAGCATAGGATCGGCTTTGCCTTGCAACGGCACTGCAAGTTGCCTGTTTGTCTCAGATTGAAACACGATTCGAATCAACCGCCATCGGAACCGGGCAACTACTATGATCCCGACACTATAAACGAAAACCCAATGCATAGGGTTAAAAGGTTTTTAAAAAGGGATTTGAATCAATTGGTGTCAACATTTAACGATCCCTTCAATCAGTATGAAGACAGTAAATTGTTTCCAAAGACTGTAGATTTATTGATTGTCGGTGGGGGTGCAATCGGTTCATCGATCGCTTATTGGATACAAAATAAGGTCAGAGACGGACTTTCGATTGTTGTCGTGGACAAAGATTTATCGGTAAACAATAATCATATGACTCCAGATGAGGTAGGATAAATGGTTAAGTTGTATAGTTACAGTTGTCACTGATATTAAGCCGATCGTGTAATTTTAGTACCTATTAAATTTTCGTCGAAAGAACGGATAATCCAAATGAGGCCGTTTCGTGTGATACTAACATAAACAGTTTTACTTACCTATGTTTTAAATGTTACCTATTAATGTTTTCATAAACATTATGTAAAGTAAATTTGCACAATATCTGTTCTCTAAATGTTATTATATTTGTGTGTATTATGCACAACTTGATATTTTGTAGTTGCTGAATTACAGAAAAACTGTTCACATTTTCAGTAATTACTTTGTAATGCTTTGAGTAAAAAACATTTTTCATTTATTCATAAACATCTTAAAATATTGCCTTATTTTCTATATTTTTAGTCAGGATTTTTGTTTTTTAAAGCTAAAAATCATACTTTTTCTACCTCTAAAATTGATTGAAAAAATCTGACTTGAACAATAAATAGTAAAACATAAAGTTATTTAAAACAAACATTTTTTCATATTATTTGTTGAGTTAAAATTGAAAACATTTAAATACATTTTGATTTGTTTAAATACCAATTTATTTGTAAATATTTGTTTAAATTAAAAATGTAATGTTATTTATTATTTAAAAAAACGTTAATTAGGTCTTAAGGCTTATTTTCTATAAAACAGTTTTTTTCATCAAAGCGTTTCAAAGTTATAAATGAAATTTTCTTAAAATGAGTGTTTTTTTAGTTTACTGTACTTATCAATAAGACTAGTAAAATGTATTTAGAGAGCCAAAATTGTATCAAATTACTATTTTCAATGTTAAGTAATATGCAAGTTTTAAAAGAACTGAAAATATAAGTGAAAATCATTGTTGACAAGGAAAAAACCCTTTTAAAATTATTGTTTTTATTATTGATTTAGTATTCTAAAGCTTCGTCGGCGCTTTCGGCAGGAGGAATTCGACAACAGTTTTCATTGAAAGAAAATATACAACTATCCATGTACAGTGCTCAGTTTCTGCGCGAAATCAAAACCCACTTGACCATTCCAGAAAATGATCCGCCCGAAGTCAGTTTTAATCCATCCGGGTACTTATATTTGGCATCGGAGAAAGGCGCCGATACAATGTTACAAAATCACAAAGTTCAAAAGTAGGCTGTGTGTTTTTTTTTTTTGAAAATCATGTCGTTGTTTAAAATTGGAATTTGCAAATGTCATTAGGGACGCAGGAGCTAGAGTGGAACTCCTATCACCGGATATTATGAAAAAAAGATATCCCTGGTTGAACACCGAAGGCATTGTACTCGGGAGCCTCGGCACATTGAACGAAGGATGGTGAGTTTAACGCCGACGATATTTTTATTTTCATTACATGCCCCGTAACTGTAATTTAACCGACTTTCTTAGGTTTGACTCCTGGTCAATGTTGGAAGCATTTAAAAAAAAAGCCAAATCGCTCGGTACGTATTATGTCGAAGGGGAAGTTGTTGATTTCGGTTTCAAAGTCGATCCCAGCATAGTAACTGAAAACGATCCTAATAAAGAATATGAAGGAATTAACAGCGTAAAGGTACAAGGCTTTTGCCAGCATATTTTAACTAGAGCTGTCAAATTGCTTACACTTTTTATTGTAGTTAACAATACAATTAATATTGTCCAGGTGAAGTTACCAAACGGCGAATTCCAACAAATTGTGTTCGCGTTATGCATAATAGCGGCCGGTGCCGACTCAGGAAAGGTTGCTCGGATGGCAAAAGTAGGAACTGGAGATGGATTTTTGTCAACCCCTTTGCCTGTTGAACCACGGTAACAGTCTTAAATATTTAAGTACTAACTAAACACACAGACCATTTTGTTAAACAATATTAATTGAAACCGATTTTCAACTTGAGTCTAGTCATATTACATTTTGATTTTGGCATTTTTAATTTGAACAATTTGCAAATAACGAATAATTTAAAATTAAAATAAACTTTAGCGTTTAAAATTACTATTTTTTTAAAATTAAATACATTTTTATAATTATTCAAGCTTTTATTTTAACAACACCTGCTTAAATTTGATTTGCTATAATAATTTGTAATTAAATGCTTGTGTGTACTTTTAGCAAACGATTCGTCTACTGCATCCATGCTCCAAAAGGGCCGTCAATAGCACCGATGGTCATTGATCCATCTGGATTTTATTTTAGGTAACCAATTAAATTTTTTGTATTTAAAAAAACTGTTTTCGAATGATTTATTTTAGACCTTGTGATTAATTTTACATATTTATACTGTCGATTTAGGCCTGATGGATTCGATAACCATTATATTTGTGGCAAGTCGCCAGACGATGAGAACGAGCCAAGCACATCAAATCTAGACGTCGATCATGAATACTTTGAAAAAGAAATCTGGCCACTTCTCGCTCATAGAGTGCCTGCATTCAATGAAGCCAAAGTATGATGTCAATTTAGTTTTATTAGAAAATTGTCTTCCCCCATAGATTTTCGACTAGATGATTTGTTTAGTTCAAAACTTTATGAAAATATTTGTCTTACTTGAGCTAAAAAAACTTAGTGCAACATTTTATTGTAATATGTAAAAAAATATATCAACATTTTAACAATAATAGATTTTTTTTTAAAACAACATTATAACATATATAGACATTTAAAATGTTTAAAACGAAAATTGTTCCAGGTAAAAAGCAGTTGGGCCGGTTATTACGACTATAATTGGTATGATCAAAATGCTATCGTTGGAGCACATCCAAGTTACTTTAATTTGTTTCTTGCCACCGGTTTCAGCGGACACGGTAAACTAATTTAATAGTTATGCTTACACGATTATGATAACAACAATGATAATAATAATAATACTTGTTCATTAAAATATATATTAAGGTATACAACAAGCACCAGCGGTAGGAAGGGCCGTAATGGAAATGATCACCGATGGCGGCTTCATAAATATTGATCTTACGAAATTCGGTTTCGGTCGTTTGATCGCTGAAAAGCCATTGTACGAAAAGAATGTCATTTAACGAGCAATTTGTCATTTACTTTGGACGGAATGTAACTAGTTGCGGACCGTTTGAAACGTTTAAAATTCGATTTCACGTTGAAATTTTTGTACAGAAATATCAAAATGAACAACATGTAAATAGTAGCGATAGTAAATTCTCGAGGCATGTGACAGGTTTCAACACCGTATTGATTGGCAGTGAACTGTGCCTAAAATAAAATCAAAAAAAAAATTATAAAACATACTTTTAATATTGCAACTGTTGTTATTATTTAAGTCCCAAGTCCTTTACGCTTACCAACACGAAACTAGGATTATATTTATTACGCCAGTTGAATGACGATAAAGTGTATTCGTGAATATTATTTTGATGTATTAAATGACAACCGTGATGAGAGTGGCCGTCGAACACTAGTCTAGGGTTTATTGATTGCAACAACTGTAAAACATAAATAAAAAATTATTTATTACATTTAATATTCTCCGAAAAAAAAAACTAATGTAAAAAATCACTTTTTTTGTTGCATCCTTTTTTAGACAGTCCCAACCGTCGCGAAACGATTTCTGTTTTTCGTTTGTTGGAGCCGAATCAGGTTCATTGCATGCCATGTCGTTTTTTCTATGCAATGGGAAATGCTATAACAGATACGAAATGTGTTTAAATAATAATAATAATTTAAAATTACAGACAGAATTTTAAAAATTGTATTAAGTCAATCTAAGTTTCATTGCCAAAAAAATTCTACCGTGCAGTAATTTATTAATTATTTAATTGAAATTAATTATAAATAGAAAGTCAGTTACGCTTACTTGTAACAGTATAGGTGCACTGTAATTGCCTTCGACCATCATTTTCTCTGGACAAGCGATTTCTCTTTTGCTACACTTCAACCGCCCTAAATCGCAATATATATATTGATTAAATATCCACTATAATTCAATGTATATGTTCAACTGACTGGTAATATCTCTTAACTGTTGTTCTGCGTTGTAGCAAAAATAACATCCGTCCATTTCCATGGCCATACTGTTTACAGTGACGAAATGTACATTGCGTTTGCTAACTAACGTAACTGGTCCCGTATTGAATGCTTTGTAGAACCGTCTCTCAAGATATGGAGTTATGCTGAAGAAACGTACAGAGAAAAAACACAATTTTCAGTAGAAAATCAGTAATAACAACTATTAGCGTTCTTACCTATAATGAAATCCAATATCGTGATTACCGACGACAGTGTAAAGTTTTATGGATTTAGGTACTGAAAATAGATTTTTGAAAGTCGCAACGTACGAGTTGAAATCTTTTTCGCTGCTCCATAGACCTTCGTCGAACAGATCACCTAAGCACGTGGGTACAAGCAAGGATTATGCATTTTGCGACTTAAAAATTGATGGTTTTTTTAGTTTTGGAGACGCTTTTACATATTTATTATTATTTTTTGTGTGGGTGTAATAATTTATAAATAAATTTAATTAGAAAAAAACATAAATTGAAAAATAGTAATTTTTCCGATTTTGTCATTGACATTTAGTAGTAATGCCTAAAATTATATATAACAATCTTAACTTACCGAGCACAAAAACTAGTTCAGGACTATGTATTCGTATGGCTGTTTGAAAAGCTCGTTTCATCTCCCATTCTCTGAACAAATAACTTAAATGATAATTACTACGTAATTGGTTTCATAGATAAAATAATTAATTTAGATATTTTAGATGACACATTATACAATCAATTCTTCAGCCTAGAACTTCTTGCTTCGAAAAGGATTAGAACAAAAACAATATTCTTAAATAAAACAATTTCTATTAACATTTTTTTAAAAAAATGTTAATAGAAATGATGAAACAGTAAGAATTTTAATTTTACTCAATTACCTTCTCATTTTATCGAACCAATTCCCTTTTCTCGTTCCTAGTAAATGTGTGTCGGCTATGAACATTACTTTGAGAGGTTGTTCTAAGCTCATCGTATGATCTGATGGCCAATTACACTAAAATAATCGTGAAAAAACACGTAATAATATTTTATTAATAATTTTACAGTCATGAAACCAAGTATCGAAAATCCTTTGGATCCATTAAGAGGTAAAAATAACACCTACGCAAAAATTTAAATTTACAATTAATACACTTACTTGCATGAGCACAATATAGTATATCCCAAATTCGCAATAAAATACCACAAGAATAAAATAAAATATAAAAACAATTTTTTTCATTTTGTAGTTTTATATTAAATGAGCCATTGAATAGTGGAAAAAAGAAAGAAGGTAACTCATATCACAAATCCGAGCTATTCACTAGAATACAACGCATCATGTCGAGTACCATAGCACAGGTCTTAATGAGTTAGTCAACAAAATAATTGAAAAATATATCTATTTAAGAAAAAACTATACAAAATCGGTGTAAGTGTCGAGCCACTCGAGTCGGGCTTTCTGCTTTTGTAAATTTTAACTACCAAACGTTATCAACATTAGCGAGTTCCATTATCAGTGAAATATGATAAGGACGACCAGGGGTTTCTAAAACGATTATGGGGAGGTTGAACATTTTTTAAAAAAATTTACCCATAAAGAATCAAATTACACGACGTCATGGACAATAAAATAATATACAATATCCTTTATATACGATAACCATAGAACATTTGAATTATAATACAACTTGTATTTATTATCCACGTGTAATAATGATTACTTAAACATATTTATTTTTCAACCTCCACCATAATGGTTTTAGTAAACCCTGATCGCCCTTGGTGATAGAGGCAGATTTTTATTTTTATTATAAAAGAATAATAATTATGATTAGAACGAATGATTATGAGTTAGAACAAAGATTGAAAACACCAAATTGTTACACTTACTTAATGTACTCGTATATATAACGACATAAAATAGTACCCAAGATAATATCGAGCATTAAATGCGACAAATTAACGCGATCGCGTATGAACAAGTCATAATAATAGTTTTACGATTGGCGTTTGTGTTAGGCACATAAATCAAATCATAACTATACATGTTTGGTAGTTAAACAAAATTTAATATTTTGTAATGTACTTTGAAAACGTATATGATTTGCATTTTTAGTGAGCATTAATAGAATATATCCGTAAAATTAACCAAAATCAATATAGTAGGTAATGAGTTATTAGAAAACCAATTGTATAAAAGGTATTAAAAAATGTATGTTACGGGTTTTATTGTTATGAAACTGCTTTTTTAGCACTAAACTTTAGTGGAAAATATTAATTATTTCGAGTAATCATCGTAAAAAAATTGTTTTGTTCAAGTAAAAAATGACATAACTAACTTTTCTGGCTGTCCACCGAATGATGTTGTTATTAAAATGTTCGTGTTAAGCTATTAATTCGGCTAAAAGACAATGATGATTTAGGCCAAACAAACAAAATATAAATCATAATTCATAAATTTACCATTTAGTTAGTCAACAGTAATTTGACTGTGTAAAAACATAATTTTATGGTATTTTCAAACAAAACCATTCAGTGTGCTCAAAATCCCAAGTACTCATATTATCTTAAGAGTCTATTTCTAAAGAGTTTGGTTAAGCCAATATTTAAGAAAAAATATTTTTTAATACATTTCGATTAATTAATAAAAAAAATGTTGTTCAAGTAAAAAATGACATAATCAACTTTTTGGCTGTCGACCGGATATTGTGTTCAATAGTGAAGTGTGAACAAATTGCAAGAAATTTCATGAATTAGTTCTTATAATGCTTGGAGGAACGATTGCATAACACCAAGCTAGATGGATGGCAAAAGGAATTTATTGCCTTAAAATATTTTTCTTAAGGTGAGAATTCAAAATTTGAAAATCCAAGGAATATGTACACTCAGACAAATGTGTGTGTTCATAATATTATAAATATTATGGTCTGGGGCAAAGTGATGAAAAATTCAACTATGCAGTTATTTATCTTGGCCACTGAAAATTATACACTTTTTTAATCCAACCATGCTATTATTCGCAATTTGAGCACCTCGTATATTATTCAACGATTATTTTGCTTCAAAATAAAACCAGCCTAATTTCAGTATGACGAAGCTGTTAAATATATTTTGATTATGGTGACGTATTGTCTGAAAATGAATTTTAAATATAAAAAACGGTTTTTTCGTAGGGCTTAGAAAATATGGAAAAAATGGGATTTTTTTAAGTAATAAATTTAAAAAAAAACACATTTTTTGAGATTTGATATCATAAGTAGGACGTCTTATTTCCGTAATGACCAATTCATATCTCATTAATCAAAAATAACAATTAGTTATAAACTAAAATTTGTTATTAAATTCCAATTGTTCCTTAAAAAACAATTACTTAATAACTTTTTTTTTACTGAAGAACAGAAAATAGTACAAGACTGATACTGAATAATTTGTTATATTTTAATAAGTTATAAAACTGAAATTTGTTGTTAAATGCCAATTATTTTTTGTCAATTGTTATATTATTTACATTTATTTTATTACTAATGTTTTACCAGAAATTTGGTTATTAGCTATTGATCGAAATGGTTTGGTTCAGTTTGTATAAGTCTGGATCTCGTGTGGTGGCGACATGGCATTGGTCGTCAGTAAAAAAGTGGTACATAAAACCGATAAGGTACCACAAGATGGGCTATTCCGAGGTATATATTTGATCGACTCAGCAGTCATACGTTCAGTATATCTACAAATTACAAACGGTGACGACTCGTTGCCCGTATATTCGTCATAACGTAATTTCGCAATCATGTACAGATTAGTTTTGACGTTTTTTGCTTTAACCATTGTTCGGTCCTCACTCATGACGGAGAACGAGAATTGGTGGTCCGGCTACAAGCTCTGTCATTCCCTGTGTCCTGAGTTATGTCAGTCCCTACCACTAAATGAAACCGGTAAAGTTTCGCAGGATGAGTCTGTTTGCAATATGATATGCCCGGAAATGTGCCGAAAAGCGGGTGATTACGTATTTGGTGGCACCAATGGCACCAATGGCACATGTTATCATTTTGAAGAGTTTGGATGTGTACCCTATTGGACAAACCTACCTCCAAGCTCCAGAAGTAATTACGGAATGGGTTTCGGAGTTGGTTACGGATTTTTTCGAAAAAATATAGAGGTTATATTAATTTGTTATAAAAAGGTCGCTACCGTATTATTCAGTTTTTGTATATTTAGGCGGATAATACATTTGGTAATTTAAAGTCATTCGAAGTTTTGCAATCAGATTTAGATCCGAAAGTACCTACAATAATCGTTATCCAAGGTTATTGGAATGTGGATCAGGAGTTAAATGCTGGTCAAATGATAAAGGTTACTATAGGGAGATGTAAAATCGTATAAACTCACACGAGTTGTATGAAAAAAATTTGTTTTAGACAATGATAGACAGATTATTAGAGAAGGGTGATTATAATATCTTTTATGTAACAAGGAGCAGCCCATTTTCCCCCCAGTTGTACGAGAACTCAGTGGCTGATACAATTCTTGTTGGTCTGGAAATCGCTAACATGATTAAATATTTAAAAGTAATAGCAACTAGACTTACTATTTTTAGATTAAAAACTAAACCGTTACATGTATGTTTTTTTATTTGTTTAATTACATGGTCAGAACAAGATGGGCCTAAAACCAGAAGATGTTCATTTAATAGGACATAGTCTAGGAGCGCATGCCGCAGGTTATGCTGGAAAATATACACCAGGTTTGGGTCGCATCACAGGACTTGACCCAGCCAAACTACTATTTCAAGATAGACCTATTGAACATAGACTTCATCATACTGATGCACATTTTGTAGACGTCATCCATACTCATACTGAGAGTAAGTAACGTGCTTGATAACTGAAATACTTCTCTATAATAATAGCTACTTTGTTGACAGCGTATGGTATTGAACAACCTTGCGGACATCTCGACTTTTATCCAAACGGCGGTAGTCTGCAACCAAATTGTAGTGATTCGATTTGTAGTCATAATAGAGCCTATGAACTATTTAGTGAATCTATCAACTCGCAATGTGTGTTGAAGGGATGCGGAAAGGTATTTAGAGATCATACAGTTATTTAACGTACTAAATTTGCAGCTTATGGACGTGCAAAATACAATTTTAGGTCAAAGATAATACTGTTTGTGCTGTGATGGGTTGGAATGCGAAAAAACCTTCAGCCATCAGCAACTATGATACACGATACTATTTAAATATAACCGGAACATCTCCGTATTGCAGTGAGTTTTATGTTTTTCTATATTATAATGTATGCATATATATGAGTATGAACTTTTTTATTATATTTTTAGTATCGGAATAACAGTGACATTGAATGAATTAATCACCGAAACAGAGCACTAGAACATTGATGCCCCTCGAAAGTAGTGTAATTAAAATGTAATTTTTACATTATATTAAAAAATAATAAAGTTCCGATTAGAATAATGCAAACAAGTCATTTCTTTTTAACATATCTTTATTTACTGTTTCGACTACAATGACCATTATAGATAAATTACTAAAACCGTCCAAAAGTTGTATGTTTATATCTTTTTACATATTTAAAATCATGTACCATTATAGCTGAGAAGCTTTTATAACTATAAAAAAAATATTAACCTAAGGAATTATGTACGTATATCTACGTATAATACTATCTACTATCTATTACAGAATATATTATGATTGAAAGTATTTTACAGAAAAAAATATAGTTATAAATAAATTCTTACCAGGCAATTTCCTGCAGATTCGACTGTTTTCAAAAATGCACTAAAGTTGCCCATCATTGTTATATTTTTTGTTTTTTTATTAAACTATAGTAAAATACAAGTGTTATTCTCTTCTTCTTCTTCTTGTGGGTTACGGCCTTCAAGACCATCCCTGCAAACAAATTTTCCGCCATCTTTCCCTATCCTCTGCAACTTCTCTCCACTGTATATTTGGTTCTACTGCCTTAACATCCTTTTTGATACGATCCTCCCATCGTAAGCGCGGTCTACCTAACGGTCTTATCCCAATCGGATTTTCTTTAATAACCGCCTTAATAAAAGAACATTCTTTCCTCCAAGCATGCCCAGCCCACATTAATCTTCTCCTTGTAATTTCTGCTATTATATCTGGTTTTTGAAACAAGTTCTTCAGTTCATCATTGTGGCGTATCCTCCATTCCCCAGTGTCAGAATCGATACATGGTCCATAAATTCTTCTTAGAATTTTCCGTTCAAACACCGCAAGTCTTGTTTCCTCTTTCTTTATGAGTCCATGTCCCAAAGCCATATAATACTATTGGTCTTATTAGGGTTATGTACAATTGTATTTTTAATTTTGTCGATAAGATTTTTGAGCCAAACATACTTCCTAAGCCAAAATAACACCTATTTCCCATTTGAATCCTAGTGTCCACCTCCATCTTAAGGTCACTCTGAGATCTTGTGTTATTATGGATCCTAGGTATTTAAAATGTGGTACTCTCTTAAACTTATGGTGTTCTACTTACTCTATAACCTCTCCTTGTCGGTATTCTCTACTTCTTCGTCCAATTATGACATACTCCGTTTTTTTGTCATTGATCTTTAGACCACACTTGCCTGCTACATTTATTAGTTTTCTACAATGCTGTTTTACAATATCTAAATTATTTCCCAATAGGGCCAAGTCATCGGCGTATGCTAGTAATCCTATTGTCGTGTTACCCATCGTAACCCCGTCAATAATATTTAATTCTCTGATAATTTTTTCCAACACTAGATTAAAGAGGACGGGAGAGAGAGCGTCTCCTTGTCTTAAGCCCGTAGATACTCTTACTGTCTCTGATACTGTATTCGCAATTTTAACTTTTATCAAAGTGTTTTCAAGGCTAGCCTTAATCAAGTTTACTAGCTTTATCGGGAAATTAAATTCTTTTAATATGTTGATTAAGGTTGGTCTATGGATTGAATCATAAGCTTTCTCAAAATCGATAAATAGAATGTATAGCTCTTTGTTATATTCCCATGACTTTTGTGTAATTTGGCGAATACAAAAAATCTGATCCGTTGTAGATCTGTTAGGTCTAAAACCTCCCTGGCATTCTCCCAAAACACTTTCCGTTAAAGGTTTTATCCTATCAAGTATACAATATGCCAAAATCTTATAAGCAACATTTATTAGAGCTATACCTCTGTAATTTTTGCAGTCTTTAGGGTCATTCTTCTTATGTATTGGACTTATTAACGAAATGTTCCAATCTTCCGGGAGTTTCTCATTTTTTCAGATCAATTCTATTATCTCGTGAATTCTAGATATTGTTTCTTCATCTACCCTCTTAAGAATTTCTGCTTGAATACCATCTTCTCCTGGGGATTTATGGTTTTTTAACGTTTTGGCTTGTAAGGCAATTTCTTGTTTAGAGGGTGTTGAGCAAACGCTATCATTAGTTGTTAAATTCATTCTTGGAAATTCTTCCGCTGGGTCATCACCGTTAAGGAGTTTCTCAAAATATCCAGTCCACTTCTCCAGAAGCTTCCCTTGTTCAGTCACTAGCGTCCCATCATCTTCTCTTAAAAACCTCTCTCGTTTCTTATATCCTCCTCTTGCTGTGTTTATCTTCTGATATAGTTGTCGTACATTATTTATTTTAAAATTTTGTTCCGCTTCTTCTAACAGTTTTTGGGCGTACAACCGTTTTTCTCTTCTTAATGTGTTATGTGTTTCTTTTTGGCATCGTTTATTATGTTCCTCTTTGTCTTTGTTTGTAGGATCATCAAGTCATATGATCCTTAGATCCTTTCTAGGTGTTTAATTTTTAATGAAGCATATATTATACAAAATACAAACAAAGACTATGTGTTTCTTGCCAGCAGTTTGTACATGTTGTCTTGTGAAAATTTAAATATTAGTCGATGATGTGAACCTATTATAATATGTAAAATTTGAAACGTTTGTGAAGTACACGCAAATTTATTATTTTCAGGCAAGAAGCAAGCAGGAAAATATATGATCACGCTATATACCTATTCTCTCCCCTCTACATTCCCTTTTTGTGGTCCCTTACTATCTTCTTTTCTATCCTCTCTTCCTATGTAATCTTGAAATATTATCATTCTTCTATATTTTTATACGATAGCCCGGTGGCTGATACAATTGACGTTGGTCTGGAAATCGCTAACATGATTATTAATTTTAAAGTAATACCTACTTGTTGACGCCGTACAATGCGTATAATTGTATAAATATAATTACCGTATATAACGCGTTTATAATCATAAACGTTAAAAATAACCCACTCGATACGCGACACCGCTGATTGCGCTTCCCTTTCCGTTTTGTTTTTCCCTCCTTTATTTACTATATCGATGGTTGTATCAAGCGTCCGGATTCCCCGGCGCTTCCTTCGTCGTGTGTGTGCTGCTTGGTTTGGCAGGTTGTCGTTTTCTATTTTTCTCTCGTTGTTCGCCTGTTATTAAAATATGGTTGGACAAAAATCTTAAATGTTTTGTTTTTTTTTCTTTATTGTGTAAAATTACTGTGTGAATATTAAGTTCATAATCTTGATTCTAAACGAATATCCTATTGGTACACTTTTTAAACGTAATATATTCGATTCAGTGCAGTAGTCATCGAAACCTCGTGTTTTTTTTGTTCTAGTCTTCATTTGCTTTTGGCCATCACTGAACCCGAAAATTGGTTGTGACTTACGGTGTCCACCAAAACCTTTTCCACAACGTCGTTGATGATTGTATCCGTAAGTCCTCCTTAGACTGTAGCGGGGCCGGTCAAGGTCATCGGAGCCCGGCTGCCATTCACCATCGGTGTATAATTTTAGTTCAGTTGTTAAGTTAGTTTGTAGACGGTTATTTTTTAACCGATTAGTTTTTAAGTTTTCGTTTGTGTCCATTTGCACCAGACCGAACCGGGCACAAACACATTGTACATAAATTCGCACAATCCTTTCTCCCGTGTATATAATGTTCTCCTTTCCGTATCTTTTTTCCTGATACTTCCGTTCAACGCACGCGTGTATCGTCGTACGTAAAAGAAAAAAAAATGAATATTTACTGAGATGTACGTTCGGTTGCCTATCTGTAATCATTCCAGGAGTCATCCAATTGTTTATTGTGATTGAAGTAAATTTTTTGGTGTGTGTATTTATTCACACTGGTCCTTCGACTCATTTATTTTAGTTTTTTTTTGTTGTGACTTGTGACATGACACCACATACTTGATTTTCAACATATCATTCAAAAAAAAAACATTTTTTTTTTAAATTGATATTACATAATGAAAAATAAAATTATATTGAAATTTTTAATTATGATCATTTAGTAGGATGAACTGTTGGTTAGCCATCTAAAAAAATATCAATTTATGGATTTAAATATATGAATTAAAAAAATATGAATGTATATTAATTTATCTATTACATAGAAAATATGTCACTGGATAAGTATAAAATTATATAGGTATTTGATTTGATGCACTGAATATTTTTATTATTATTAATTATTATTATGTAACTCTCCAGATCTAAAAACTTAAAAGGTTTGCATCGAGACATTTTATTTAACCTCTCTTTGGACGTTTTTATAAGCACTGTCGTCAAATAGTCAATCAAAAATCCAAATAATGTTTTTATCACTCTTCACTTCTTTTCTTTTTAAGTTTTATTATATACAGATTGACCTCTAGTCATTTCATTCATGTTTTTTACTCTTGAGTTCTTAAACACTTGAACTTCTGTTAAACCACCAGACCTTTAATATACATATTTAATGCACTATGCTGATATTTACTTTCTAAACGTACAGTACGTCATTATCGGGTAATGGCATAGACGGTGATTTCTGAACAAATAAGGATTTTAATTCAACCAATATCAAGACAACGTACTAAGTTTGATACATTTTTGTTATAGGTTTTCTACAATACACCAGACATTCGATATTTTAGCCTTTCGGCCTCTAGACATTACGTTCTCTTTTAAACCATAGCTTACTAAACCCTTAAGTAAGCAAAACCGGACACTTGATTTTTAACTGTCTGATTTTATACATTTCTTTTAATTTAATGATGCAAGGAGCGCCAGCTACTCAAATTTGTATAGGTACATATATCGTTTCTGATCCGATAAATAGCTAAACACACTACAGTTAAAACAGTTAGCTTGGAAAATATTTTCTTGAACCTAGGTATGAATTCTGATAGCTAGACATATATGATACCTATATATAGACATATAAATATAGGTACTATGATTTATAACGACATTACTTTAAGACACAATGCGTTGGCCCGACACCCCCTTCGGAACCGCTGTTCATTAACTTCCACATACCGTGGCCGGCATGTAAGAATAGGAGATTTATTCGACTAATATCTAGATATATAATATAGATGAGTACTACGTTTTAAAAAGTTTTGTTTTAAATAGGTATACCATACCAGACCATTTAGCCGGCTGACTTCTAAACATTTCTTTCTATTTTTAACCATTGCTTACCAAGCCCGTGAAGTAAGCAACACCAGATACTTTATTTTCAACATATCATTCATATTAAAAAAAAAAATAATTGTACTTTAAGCAAGTAGC